ATCGTCAATGGGGCTGGTTTTTGCTTCTCTGCAGCGATATTGACGCCTTGACTCTGATACGATTGTACATGCTTTGCTACGAAGTTCGTCTGGCCTGATACGGGGACTCTGGCTTAGTCCTCTTGGGTTCTGACGCTGACGAGGGATACTCGAGAATTGGCAGTGTACATTAGAGTACCATATACAATACAATAATGTCTGTTAATCAACAACGTTCTTACTCGTAGAAATGCCTGAAGATTGTTAATGGGACCAACGCAATGTGGTCTCGTTACAACTTGCAATGTGATACTGCAGAAAGTTCACACCTCAATTCCAGTTGACGACGCACGGACCAGCATCCTTCGATCCGCCTCCGCGATTGGGATTCATCATGTTTGACGCGTTGGAATGCGCGTGGATCTGTCCAACCGGAGATAAGAATTCTTTTCGATTCGTATTCACATCTATATTCATATCGATTCTACTTATGAGCCAGACTTTCGAGAATTGGGTGATTGGTTTCATTGGCTTTGGAATCAGTGAGCAAGGGATATCCGCCAAGGTCGGAAAGGCGGCGTGCTAGGTCTTGCCTATCCAGCTGATTTGGAGCATAATTGATGAGGGTAAGTTGGTATTGATGTTAGGAATATAGTCGATTGAAGACAATTTGTTTGTACCGCTTTTATCCAATGTCCTGGATGGCAAAGGCGATGCTGGTGTTGCAACGTTGACGTGATCAAGTGTTACATGCTAACACCAACAAAGGATCAATTGCATGAGATCAGACGGTCACTATCATTTTCCCTTCTGCCAGCCCGGTGACGAGGGAGTGAACTGATCCGGAGAATGTCGACCAAGAAACCAAGAGACCGGACCACTCCCTGCTGCGTGTGCCGGTTAAAAAGGCGAGGATGCGATCGGCAACGTCCAGGTATTAACTCATTCAGACACTTCATTTGCGATAGAAGCTAACAGATACAGTATGTGGACCATGTCGCGAGGCAGGCCTATCGGAGGAATGCTCCTACCGACCGGAGGACATGCCTCCTCGGAACAGCTCAACACGGTATGCCAGTCTTTGCTCAATGCATGTCCATGTCCCACAGGCACAGGACCTAACAGGCACAAGCAGGTCGCTACTCCCGCGGCAACTGAAGCGGCTGAGGTCGCTGCCCTCTCCGTCACAGTCTGCGCCGTTGGTGGTCGTCCAGTCCGCTGCACCGCCCAGCTCGACGTGGAATGGGAGGGAGTCGTCGTCGATGCGCACGCTGCAGAGTTCGCGTGAGGCTGGTTCCAGGCTGCGGTATACCCTCGGCCTTTTTTCGCATCGGCGAACGCAGTCTGGATCTGCTATGTACCCTGCCCGAGGTAGCTTGCAAGCGCGCGGGCAGATTGATGTCGACGAAAGCTCCGTTGGTGAATCCGAGGGAAAGGACGATGCGATTGACGTTTCGTCGAGTCATTCGGAGGAGTCGTTTCATACTGCTACGCGATCGCCGATGCCTGAGTTTATACCGACGGAGAGTCGCGGTGCGCAGGGATCGCGTTTCGCGAGGATACGACAGGCCCAGGAGAGACGGACGGGGAGTGTCAAGCGGGAAGAGGAAGAGCCGATCGAGGATCGTCTGCCGGTATTACGACATTCGAATCTTGCTGGTGGTGGGACGTTTATCTCTGCTGTGGACGAAGACGAGGAGATGATGGATCCTCCAGTAGATTTGTCCAAGGAAGATGCAGATCGACTGGTGAACGTCTACTTGAATCTGGACTATGTGACGCTGCCGATCTTGGATATACAGGACTTTCGCGCAGCGTATGAAGCAGCTAGTGTTGCTGGGGACTCTACCACGCCGAACACATTTTACGCCATTCTGAACACGATCTTTGCGCTCGCCTGTCTCAACGTAGACGACATGCGTGACGAAAGGGCGAGTTACTTCTTCAAGGAGGGTCAGAGGCTGGCCAACCTGTTCGATCAATACAAGTCTATTGATCTTCTTCGATTGTACATCCTACAGGTTCAATATCTCAACGCGATAGGTGATCTACCTACGGCTTGGGCTTTGATCGGATCTACGATACGACTGGCACAGTCACTGCGTCTACCCTTCGACGCAAAGCAACACGGGCACAGCAGAAAAGAGCGAGAGACTTGCCGGAGGCTCTGGCATGGCGCGATGATATTGGAACGGATAATTGCGCTGCGGCTCGGCATCGCGCCCCAAACACCCGATCCGCTGCGGGTTCCTCTGCCTACGCACTTGGATACAGACTATGTTGACGTGATTTCCAGCGCACAGTCCAGCGCACCGTCGAGCTCGCAAGGTGAACGTGCATCGATAATCGAGTTCTTCACCGCCTGCGCAAGACTGTACAGGCTTATCGAAGACGTCATGGCATGGGAGGAAGAAGCAAGAATTCGGCCTCACGGCTGTGCCATGAAGAAACTACTGTCACTGGATTTTACGCGATTCTTGAAAGCAGATAGCCTCTTACATGATTGGAATCAGTCATTGCCCTCGTCTCTCCGGGGCAGTGGGGGCCATGGCACAGACGAACACTCTATCGTCGTCCGACAGCGGAATATCCTTCGAGCCCGATACTTGTATCTTCGGCTCCGGCTAAACCGGCCACTGGTTACTCTGGGGCTAGCGCTGACCACCGCGTGCAAATGCAAGTCGGATGGCCAGCCTCACATTGTGGTAAGAAGGCTCGCCCCAGACTCACCTATTGCGCTGAGCCTAGTCCATGGGGCTTCTATCAAGTGCGTCCGATCCGCACTCGAACTGACAGAGCTTATTCGCGCGCATGAGGCTGGATTGCTTCGACTTGATACACCATACGACGCAAGTCACTGTCTCAACCCACCCTACTGGGAGTGTGTGGAATATCTTTACGTCTGCGGTACGGTCTTCCTTGCTAGCTTCAACCACACATGCCCGTTCTTCGGAGATATGACCGACGAGGAAGACGAACAGTGTAGAGTCCTCTGGCCCTGCATCATAGACCTTCTCGATCGCTACCAGGGATATCGTCGACGCGGCCGAACGGACAATGTAGCCCAGGCGTGCAGTCGTACACTGAGCGAGCTTGCCAAGGCCGTCGAAAGCACAGATGATACGCCTTGGGCGGTCGATTCGGCGATATTAGGACAAGACGCGCGAGCAAGGTTCTCTCAACGGACCGAGATGGAGTCACCGGTTCGACACAGACGAATATCAGGTGCGAGTCGGACGATCCCGGATCCCCTTGGGGACGCCCCTGAGTTCCCGGTGTGGATGGATAGTTTACCAGTTGACCTGGTGGGATGATTTTTGGTCTGAGCTATGTGATACCCATTGTATGATAAACCGGAACTGTCAGTAACCAGAATAAGGTAAACTGAAGCTGAAGCTGTCTGGCAAGTAGCAACCCTCACGGCCTCGGTAGTGATCATATCGCAACACTCGGAGTCGGTCCGATGCTGACTATCCATCGCCAACATCTTCAACACCCCTTCAGTTACAGTCCACGCACAAATCGTCTTGATTCTTTCGACTCTTGCTTAAATCCAAGCCACGATTATCATGAATCTAAAGAGATCTTTAGATCTACAGCATAGCACATAAAACCCTCTAGAGCAGACGTGACATGTCCGAGTCGGACCCCCTGGCACTCCCCCACGCCCCCAACATCGGCCCGTAGACCGACCCCGCAAGCAAGTAATTCAGTGTCGTAATCTGATCGGGACAATTCCCAGCGAGGACAGCGGGGTGACAATTTCCCTTCACCCCTCTTTGAACTTCTTGTGCTATTTTTCATTTTCACTTTTACCTCCTGTTTTATTTCCTTTTCTCCTTTTCAATCATTCGCGTTCATACAGAGAGTACACAAATACAATGCAGGCAATGCAAGCAGCGAATCGACTCCAGCGGGCTCTCCGCACCGAGCGCGGACTGTCCTTTGGTGCGTGGCAGATGCTTCCTGGGGCGAATCATGCACGGTTCATGGCGAGGACGGGGTATGATTGGATTTGTGTGGATACGGAGCATGGGAATATTGCTGGTAAGTACGGAGTATCCTGGCTACGAGTACAGTGATGGCCATGGCTGACGGGGGTTGGCGCAGATTGGCAGATGCATGAGGCTGTGGCTGCTATTGCTGCTACGGGGGTGAGTCCCATTGTGCGGATTGCTGCGAATGAGGGGTGGATGGTGAAGCGTGAGTTTATCTTTGATTCAGGGGGGGAGGATATGGAGATAAGTTAACGGTGGATAGGGGCCTTGGATGCGGGCGCTCATGGAATCGTCGTGCCTCTTTTGTATACTGCCGATGATGCGCGGAGATTGGTGGAATCTGCCAAGTTCCCGCCTGTTGGCCGGAGAGGCTTTGGGAGTCCCTTTGCCATGGGCTCTATTGGTGGTGTTTCTGGAGTGGAGTACCTCCAGGGGGCCAACGATGCTCTGCTCACTATCGTGCAGATTGAGACTAAGGAGGCGTTTGAGAACGTGAGTTGGTCGGGGAGTGGCTGCAGAAGTGATGACGATCTAATTGAGTTGATATATAGGTAGAGGAGATTGCAAAGGTCCCCGGCATCGATGTCCTGTTCGTCGGACCCTGGGATCTGGGAAACAATATCGGCCGTCCCGTCACGGGCGCGTTCCATGAAGACCTCGAGGCTGCGATTGAGCGGATCCGCAAGGCTGCTGTCGATAATGGAAAGAGGGCCGGTATCTACTGCGTGGGTGGTGCGGCTGCAAAGAAGTATGCCGACCAGGGTTTCCACATGGTATGAAGCAGTCTCCCCCTTTCCTGGTTACCTCCCAGATCGCTGATAAGCTTTGATGCAGATCTCCGTCGTCGCCGATGCTGTCGCTTTGCCCACCTTCCTCGCGGATGCACTTGAAACTGCCAAGGGTAGCAAGACCGATGCCGCCGTTCCCACCTACTAGATCTACTCATCCAATCCCCATGTGTATAGTGTTGCATTAGATTGAACGAAGTTTATGATTGTCGTACATGCAGCGAGCCTTCTGCCTCTATGGCTTCATTTTTTCTGTCTCCTCGACCAGATTCTCGACTTCCTGCTCCGTGAACCGGTGGAAAAGCTTCTTCGGGTCGGAGAGTTGATCCTCGAGGGCAGCTTGAACATGGAGAACCGGAACATCGAATTCGTAGACGTCCTTCCAGGACTTGTTCTCGGGGGCCATAATGTCTAATTCGGTGTAATCAAAGGGCCTCCGCTTGTGTAGCTGGGTCACGGCGTGCTTGGCGGTGTCACAGAGCCCGCAGCCAGCGCGGGTGAAGAGCGTGACACGAGCTTTGGAGAAGAGGGCTCTCGTGGGGAACATATTGTTTGCCCTGGACCGAAAGGGATAATTCAAGGAAGCTCGTTGTTGATGGTCCGGAGTAATGTTGGAGATCAACGCGGTGGAGATCTCGTGGAACCTTCGAGCTTTACAGGCTAAACCCGATCGGGACACAGCGAATGGAAACGGAGAAGCATCGCAGCAGGATTCTGTATCATTCTATAGCATACTTGCTTGTTTTGATGCTCACTTCTCTCGAAGGCGATCGATCTTCCTGTATATCTGTCCCAAATTCATCTGTTGCAGAAACAGACCTGACAGCATGGCGTCCAAGTGTGTTCACAAAGGGTGCGGTAAAGAATTCACCGATCCCGACGAGGATTGCTTGTACCATCCTGGCCCTCCCGTTTTCCACGAAGGTCAAAAGGGTAAGTCAGGCAAGGACCTTGGGGGTGCAAAGAACCGATCACACATATCCGGAATTGCAAATGAGGACCTCTATCTGACAAGTGATCTGCAGGTTGGAAATGTTGCAAAACCCGCGTTCTGACCTTTGAGGAATTTCTGACCATCCCACCATGCACCACCGGCAAGCACTCGACGGTGGACGACACACCCGCCGAGCCAGAGAAGGAGTCGAATGCCTCATCTGTCCTTGAGCAGCAACTCGCCGCCGCCACACCGGCGCCTGCTCCCCCGCGGCCTGCGGTCTCGCCCGCCATTGCCCCTTCCTCGAACGCCGCTACGCCCGTTGTCGAAGATACAGAGGACGATGACCCCTCGCTAGAGATTCCGGCCAATGCCACCTGCCGTCGCCGAGGATGTAACAAAGGGTACAATCCGTCTATTTCGCGCGACGAGGAGAAGTGTGTCTATCATCCTGGCCAGCCGATCTTCCATGAGGGCAGCAAGGGCTGGTCATGCTGCAAGAGGCGGGTGCTGGAGTTTGACGAGTTCATGAAGATTCAGGGGTGCAAGGAGAAGACGAGGCATCTCTTTGTAGGAAAAGGAAGGCCCGCTGGTGAGGAGAAGGTCCAGACGGTCAGGTATGCAATCTTCTACGGACCAACAATTTCAAGAAACAAAGCTGATGGGTGCTGTCTTGCAGGAATGACTTCTACCAGACCCCCTCTACGGTCAATGTCTCGCTATATCTCAAGAAAATTGACAAGGACAACGCCAAAGTCACCTTCTCCTCCACATCGGTCGAGTTTGATCTGCCTACGACGGACAACAAGCGGTACAAGGACACGTACCCTCTGTTTGCACCGATTGACCCGGAACGGTCTTCGTTCAAGGTCTTGGGAACGAAGCTGGAGCTCAAGCTGGTCAAGGCTGATGGGACAAGCTGGCCGGTGCTACGGAGTGACGACAAGTGGACGGGAGAGAGAATTCAGGTTGGACAGGCTGGCAGGGCTTAGTATATGAAATTTTCCCTTCGTTTATAGTTCGACGGCATTAAGCTTATGAGATCAATGATAATGTTCCATCGGCTGATACGATTACATTACAAGGCACATGTGGACAAATACGGAGTGTGACCGGATGGTAAATGATTCATTCTGATAATTCTGTATAGCAAGACCGCAGTGCGGTAAGTACATGTACACACATCAATGCAAATGTACTCGAAAAAAGGAATGTCACGCCCCCTCCACAGCATAAGCGCATGGGGCTTTAACCTTTCGGAAAAAAGCCCTCGCTCAGCCATGTATTGTGTAGGGAAAAAGGAAGACGCACGCAGAGTAAATCCACGCTGCTCTCCAGAGCCGGGAACGGAAGGAAACCCATAAGAGAAAAAAATCCCGCAAGAATAACCTTCAGCGAGCAGTACTTTGACTGAGCTCCGGGGTTGAAATTTACATGGTCAATGTAAACCTCTACTGATGATGAGGAAAGAAAAGAAAAAGAAAGAGAAGAAGCGTCGCTGAAGAAGTCTTTTTGTAGGTGATCAGAAGCTTGGCGCTAGTGGGTTCGGGACTAGTCAGATGCCAAGATGGGTCTTTACTTAGGGTTAGGGTAGGTAATGGCACATGATGGACAACTCGGTGAGGCATCACGTGATTATTTGGCTGGGCCCAGAGTCGTGGTTGCAGATGACGAAGCCTCGTTTTTTTGGTCGCGTGTCAAGTTCCTGCTGATTAATGGTCCTGGCAATCATGTGATTGCCACGTAAACACAAACCACCCTTGTAAAAGTTTCGATCCACGTCACTAATTTCGACTGCTTTACAACTGCACCTACCATGGCTGCCCTCTCGACCAACGTAAGTTTTTATTGTTTAAAAACCGATAAACAAGTGATTAGAATGCAGAATCTAATTAGTCGATACAGAAGTGGTACAACCGCTACCTGAGTGAGGTGGCTAATGGATGCCTGGAGCTGCCTGTCTACGAAAAGGTGAGTCTCAGTGTCGCCTCACCTTACTCCTAACTAACCACTTACCAACCACTTTCCAACTGTTTAGAATGATGATGGCTCGATCAAGATTTACTATGGGGAGCTCTTCTGCCGTGTGCCTGACTGTTCAAAGGCCCAGGTGAGAATATTTTCAACTGATTTTATAGTCTCATCAACTGATTCTTGACTACTTAGAAAAAATATACTGCAACAAATAACCTTCGCACCCATATTGAAACTCATGAAGATGTGGAATTACAGGAAGGAAATATTGGTGGCCGTGCTGCACAGAAGACAGTTGATGAGGCTGTTAGTAAGTGGCTGTTGAGTGGTTTTGAACTGGCTTACAACTGGTTAACAACTGGTTAAAAATGGGTCAGAGTGGTACAAGGGGCTGTTTACAGGGGTTGAGCCTCAAGATGTTGGTGAAGTAAGTACTTATGCAAATTCCAACTCGGCGTGTGATGTGTGTGTGGATGCAAGTACTCCTCCACTTCCAGTAAAGAAAGATGGCACAGTAAGTAATCTAACTGCCCTTTAACTGCTTGGCAACAGCTTACTCAATACTTCGGTTCATATCACGAACATGCGCAAGAAGGTTGCTGAAATGGGGCACCATGTTCCTTGCAATTCCTGTGGAAATCGCAATGAATGCTGCAAGGATATAAATAAGTGTGACCACTTTATTCTTTTTGAATGTGGTAATATTCACACAGACCCTGCAGGTAAAGGCAAGGCACCCGTGAGATCTCCCCAACCTCTGCATAAGCGGTAAATCGGTCAACAATCACTTGCAAATCAGTTTACAAGTACTTTAGTTGAAATTAATTTGATATAGCTTGTTTTGAAGGAAAAACTAAAAAAATAATAAAACAGTTAATGAATGGTGACTAAATGATTAATTGTAAGGAATATTTTTTTTTTTTTTTTTTCAGAAATCCGATCAATACGTATATATATCTTAACCGAACAGGATTAAGCAGGAATTGGTAGGAATCGGAAGGAATTAAGCATCTAAGTTACGCACCGTGACATCCGATTGCTTGCTAACAGCTTATAATTAAGGCAAGTAGACATATATATATGTGTGTGTGCTTGTTAAAGAAAAATAGAATGGTAGATAAAGATCGCTACATAAAACATTGTGGAACCACTTGTCAAGTACTTGGAAAGTGGTTACTAATCAGTCTGCTGCAGTTCTCGGAGTTGCATCCGTTGCCTCATAAGTTCTAGCTCTAATTGCTCATTTTGAAGCTGTTTTAAACGAACCTCTTCTTCTTTTCTTTTGATTTCTGCCTCTAAGTCTCGTAATTCCAGTTCTTGACGGCGTTGCTCAATTGTCAGAATATTTGCTGAAGCCACTCGGCGAAGACTCCGTGATGAGGTTGTAGATCTAAGTAGTTACAAGATAGTTAGTAATCACTAAGGTAGTACTCAAAAATAATTTTTTTTAAAAAACAAACAAAAAAAAAAAAACCTTACTCATTATCAGCAACTTGAGAAGAGGACGATATCGACTGACGTTTTGAATTCGCACGCGGAATTTCAATATTTTGACACTCTGTTTCAGTTGTTGAAGAGGACCGCTGACGTTTACGGCTTCCTGTATTCTTTATTAAGTACTTGCCAGCAGCTTAGAAAGTACTTAAAGTCACTTACTTTCCCGACTCATATGACGCAAATAATTTGCCTCCATTGTAGAAGCTCGATATGAATGATGAATATTGAACTGCTGAAAATTATTATACTGCAGAATATCATCTTTATCAAGTTTCGCAGAACTGAAAAGAGTTAGTTAGAATTCTGAAGTAGTTGGTAAGTGGTTGATAAATACTTTCGAACTGCTTCAATAAGTGTTAGATACTTTCCAGAAGCATATGACTTTTGATGTGATTGCTCAACAGCATTCGTATGATTTCGCAGAAGCTGAAAATAATATGACTGGATCTTTGAGCATGATTGATTTAAACCTGCCTTGATAACAGCAGATTTTTTGTGTACAGCCCAAGCCTGCACTGCCGGGGATTCATATTCTGATAAGCAGTTAGTAAGTAGTTGTTAAGTAGTTTACCAGTAATAAGATGCTTACTTATTAGCAGCTCAATCAACTCATCATACTCAGCCTCTGACTGGCAATCTAGGAGACTCATCATGCGACTCCAGAGGCCTGACCCTTTATTTTTTGTCCCGATTGCCTTTAAAATTGAGCGTTGAAAATGAACATGACAGAATACAATGATATGCTGTAAATGCCATATAGGGTCATGGTGCCGAGGATCAATTTCAGAAAGATATTGACCAAGCCCTGAGTACTTAGCGACTGGTTGGTAAACATTTCATAAGTGCTTACCTGTATACTGTTTTGTGTCCATGTCAACAATAATACCATGAATTCCAGATCCATGAATTGGATCAAATAGAACTGCCTGTCCAGAAACCTCTTCTATAAGATGAAATGCACGCTTGAATAGTAAATAGTAGCCCTCAGTGGAATCCTGGTTGGTGAACACTCGGAGTAGTGTGATAACTAGTCAACAAATGGTTAGCAAGTGGTTAATAAGTACTTGGTACACTTACTTTTGCATTGGTCTGGCATGAATGTCGCAAAAAGGACCTCATTTATGTCTTTAGATCGAATTCGTTTAAAAGACATATCAACTTCAAATGAGGATAAAGCTGATAATAAACGAATCTGATCTTTGAAGGCACAAAACACCATTGTACCATAAGAATCATGATACTTCTGTTGAATATATTCCTAGTCACTTTTTAGTACTTGCCAACCAATTAACAAGTAGTTAATAACTACTTACCTTTACTAGCGGATCCCGGTTCTGTAGAAAGAGTAACCCGTTGATATCCTGTCCATTAGGATATGAAAGAAGTCGCTGCTTCTGAATAATAGTGGCAATTCTGTCTTTATTGCAGAAACTGGAGTGGATCTCTGCTAGTGTAGAAGCATTATACTGCTGGTAGAATGCCTCCAATTGTGGGCTTCGAAGGAATTGTGCTAGTCTGATATAAGTATTTACAAAATAGTTATTAAGTGTTTTGCAAGTACTTACCAGTCGTTAAAGATGGATCTCTTATGCGTTGAATAATATTCTTCACCCCTTGCAGGATACGCTCTGGTGCCTTGCTAGGTGGTGGTGGTGGATGCTGATGAATACCATGCGATGTGAAAAGGATATATGGGCATTCATTAATATCAACAGGAACTAATGCAGTGAAAACAACACTACAAGGGGTGTGTTTCAATCTGCCTGGTCCTTGGAGGTGATCTCGATCTTATAAGCAGTTAGTAACCAGTTGATAATCAATAGTGAAGTACTTACCACAATATTTTCGTCGGGACGCCAGTGATTCAAATACACTGCAATCTTCAGCTGCTGGCATAATATTTCTGTTAAAAAGGTCCTCAAGAAATTGTAGATCAATCGATGTATGGCCTTGAACGGATCCTCTATGATGTTTCGTTAGAAACTCATCAGATCCATTACTGCAGCCAATATATGGTGGGTATTCGCCATGTACATCCTGTAAGTAGTTAGCAAGTACTTAACAAGCATTTGAGAGGATTCCGATTAACCATTTGAGTATGCCGCTTAAAAACTGGCTTGCAAGTTGGAAGTTGGTCAATACATGCATGAACCCCTCTTGAAGAATTCCATTTTCGACCGATAGTAACTAGAAGTACTTAGTAGCTGCTTAGGAAATGCTGAAAAGGAGGTTACATACCTGTACGCATTGCGTTTTCCAATATCTTTCTCCAGCAATTGAATATCTTCCTGAGATTTTCGAATAATATTCCAACAATTCTCATCAACGAATGTATGATGATAGGATCGAAGAAACGAATTTAGATATTCACATGCATAGATACCGGAGCATTTCCAAGTCCATCTTTTAACCAAGCAGTTAAAAAATGGGCACTTAACTGGTCGCCTTGGCCCATGCTGTTGTCGCCGTGAATATTGAATCTTTAACTGATTAGAAAGTGTTTGGAAGACAGTTATCAAGTACTTTACGTTACCTCATGAACAAGCTGCTCCATTTCGCTCTGTGATCGTCCTCTGGATGCAACAACGTATGAATATCCATGAATATGACTTGTTGGATACTCTGGTAAGTCATCAATGTATTCAATTTTTGATGTCTGAAGAGGATGGCTTTTTGAAATTGTAAGTTGTACTGGAATGCCCTATTTTCATATTAAGTGGTTAGTAACCAGTTAATAAGTGCTCAGACAGATATAAATACCTCAATATTGTTATGTTGCTCTGGGCTTGACTCAGTCAAGTCATCAGAACCAACGATTTCTTGTTGAGAATCCATACTGGAAAAGCGAATAAGCAGTTAGGAAGCAGTTGGAAATTTGCTTATGACTCGAAGACAGGAAAATGGAACGGAAATTGAAATTCAGAGGAATCTGTTTTGTTTTTTAAGTAGGTCGCGTGTCACGTTCCTGGCTTGGCAGTCACGGGTGGGGGATGAGGGTCACGCGTCCACGTTTTTTCGGTGGCGTGATCTGTGTACACGCCCAGAGTCACATGGTTGAGAATCACATGCAATTGTTGAGATTGCTTACCAAAATGGACTAGCGTATACGCCTTGTAATTATGGTGCCTAGTTCCTTTTCGACGTCAAGCGCGATAGGAGCGCAACTATAAAGGAAGATGCTGCATGTAAGACTTTGTAAGTGGACGAGTGGCGAATTATATCAAGCATCTTTTCATAGAAACTTCACAAGGGCTTCGATCAACGCCTGTTGTAGTCGTGCGTGGCGGCGTGTGATCGAGAAAAGCCGGACTTTAGCCTTGATACCTTAGGGACAAGGCCGCCCTTAGTGCCTTGGATTCTTGGAGGGGCTACCGGCGCTCTTCCAATCAAGGTCAAGAGGGCACGAGACCACCGTTTCCCTCTTTTGTCCCTTTCTCCTCTTCCCCTGATCGATATGACTTTATAATTTTTTAAGCTGCAGTTTTCTACCCTTATTTGATTTACTCGTGTTGAATTGGAGCATCAATTGCCGGTCAATTCATGCTTCTGACTTCTTCTGTGAAGATAATCATCCTCTTGGCGCAAGATTACTGATTGTTGCAGAGTACAAAGGGGCTGTAACTAAGTGTACAGGTTCGTACCAAAGCATCGCATAAGCCTCCAGGACCACATGAAACTCGCTCCCCTTGCATTATCTGATCAATGTCATATGGAGACTTGATGCTCCAAATATATCCTTGTGCGGCAAGTGTTGACTGTTGTTTTCGCAGGACTCCCGGGCTTCTGGTCACTCCTTATTCGCTCGTCGCCGATTAGACCTCAAGACTTGATTCATATACAGCATTAAGATGGGATCAGCGGGTGATATGAAGGATGAGACCCTTCTCCCTCTCAGATTCATCCCTCTGTCATACAACCATGCCGATTCCCAGGCTTCAGCGCTCAGGCTTGTCCTGACGCTGAACCCGCAGTGGGAGGGCCCGGACAACAAGATTGAGTTCGTGCGCTTCACGGACGGCATCACGAATACTGTGTGTTTCTTCTAGAGGATCGTAATCAGAGCGGGCGCAGAGCTGTGAACTAATCTCGAGTCTTTTCTAGCTTCTCAAAATCATTAATCGGAAACCTGGCTGGACCGAGGAACAAATAGACAACGAAGCAGTACTGATGAGAGCGTACGGTAACCATACAGAGATCCTCATAGACCGCGAGAGTATGATATGCCCGGGGACCCTTTTCTCTTGCCGAACGCGACTTGCTGAGTAGATATGCTCTATCTATAGGAGAAACCACGTCCCATGCGCTTCTGGCCAGCCGTGGCCTGGCTCCTCCCCTTCTGGCTCGTTTCCAAAACGGGCTTCTCTACCGGTTCATCCGAGGCCGGCCAGCAACCCATTTGGATCTGGTCAAGCCTCCGCTCTGGCGCGGCGTTGCCCGAAGGCTCGGACAATGGCATGCGGTGCTGCCTATCAATGGACACAGCGCGTCCAGTTTATCTGCCAAAGAGCTCCCCTTATCCCACCATGTAGATGTCGTCGACGATCAACATCAACACAAGCAAGAAGATGATTTGGATCCCATCAAGCCCCGAGTGCCGGGTCCCAACATGTGGACTGTTCTGCAGAAATGGATCCTGGCTCTTCCCACCACGACCGAGGAGCAGCGCACCCGACGACGTGCCTTGCAGAAGGAATTGGAACGCGTGGTGCGTGAGCTGGATGATGGAAGGGGTCTTGGTGACGACGGAGTATGCAGTCTCTCTCTCTCTCTCTCTCTCTCTCTGGCACGACAGCTACTGACATTGACAGCTGGTCTTTGCCCACTGTGACCTCCTCTGTGCCAACGTCATCGTCCTGCCGTCACAGTGTCCTGCCACTGCCGCAACCTCAGACAAAGAAGCATTAAACGTGCAGTTCATCGACTATGAATACGCGACCCCATCTCCAGCCGCCTTCGACATTGCCAACCACTTTGCCGAATGGGGCGGATACGACTGCGACTACAGCATGATGCCGACGCGTTCCGTTCGCCGACAATTCCTGACCGAGTATGTCAAGAGCTACAGCCAATTTCGGGGGATTCCCGAATGTGCCCAGCACGAGATCGTCGACCGATTATATGAGGATGTCGATCGATTCCGTGGTATTCCCGGACTATACTGGTATGTACTTGGTCACTTGCAGGTGGACTTTATCTGACATGTATAGGGGCGTGTGGGCACTCATCCAAGCCCAGATCTCGCAGATCGACTTTGACTATGCTTCGTACGCGGAGACCCGGCTTGGAGAATACTACGCCTGGCGGCGAGAAGTGGATGGCTCGCGGGCTCAGGCGAGCGAAGAGATGCCCCTCCGAGAACGTCGCTGGGCTGAAGCTTAGTCCACATTACCTTGCCCAGTACTCTGTCTTATGTATATAATCAACTTACTCACATAGAGCAAGAGCATGACATAGCATATGCATATGGCCTGCTTTTGCTTCTTGCAAGGGTTTCAACAATAACCTTGAGGTTGGCGGTTCAGCGTTAAGCATGATGACAGCGCTTGTCTTCAACGACGCATGTGGCAGCGTCTATTGTCTGTTAATACAAAAGCATTCAGATATTATTCATTCTGTGACACTATTCAGCATGTGACGAGATGATGTTCCTTTCGAGGGTCACCTCATGAACAGTAATATATGTTCATCTCGATACTGTTAAGATTGTTATCAGCTTCATCTGCAAACAGTAGTCTCATGAGATAAATTCAGTGGTACACAAATTCTAATACACGCTATAAGAAATCGCTCTATATACTAGTAGCACAAATTACAAACGATGATGCAACGACAATGACGCATCCGACACGTCTGACGAAGTAGACGTAGATACTCTCAACTTCAACACCTCCACCAACCTCCTCCACGCCCTCCACCCCCTCACCGCATGTTTCTCCGGCGTGGCCGGGTCGGGATCCGCCAACGTCCTCGAAAACAACTCCAGCGACACCCACCCCTCAAACCCAAGTCCAAAAAACGCCCGCGCCACATCCAGGACAGGGAGGTATCCGCCTCGGTCCTCTTCAAACGGGAACAGCCTCGCATTCCGCGACCAGCTCATGCGCGGTGGCTGTCCGGGAACATGGAACGGGTGGTTCTCGTCCAGCGGGGCGGAGAGGCGCTCCCCGTCGACGATCTGGATGTAGAAGACTTTTTTGACGTCGATATGCTCGCGGAGACGCTGTAGCGAGGCGGCTAGATCAGTCTCTGCGTTGGGTGTTTTGCCAGAGGGTGCTGCTGGGTCCGCGTACACCCGGCCCGCGAGGTTGAATGTGTCGAGGCAGAGGCCGAGGTTGGGGCGGTTGGCGCGCGACACCACGGCCCAGGCTTGCTCCCAGGTGGAGATGTGGGTGCCCCATGCGAGAGCCTCGTAGACGAAGCGGAATGGCGGGCTTTGGGCGGCGCCGAGGTCTGCGATGCGCTGGAGGTCGGAGACGATGACATCCAAGTCGCCGGTAGTGCGGGGTGCGCCGGTTGTTGGGTCAGACGGGAGGAAGTTGGAGGGGATCTGGATGAGGTCTGTGTTGAGGATGTGGGCGATCTGGAACCATTTGGGGAGCTTTTCGCTGAGGAGGTGCTCGGTTTGCGTGCGGTCGAGGAGACCCTCGTAGAAGAGGAAGGGCTGCAGGCAGATGATGGAGAGGCGGAGGGAGTCGCACAGCCGGCGGACCTCGTGCGCGGCGGCGAGGTGGCAGCCGTCGAAGCTGGAGTGGGCCAGGCAGTCGAGGTCGTCGAAGAAGAGCTCGATGCCTTCGTAGCCGTGCCGTGAGGCTTGATGGAGCTTGGTGGGCAGGTCGTGGATTCCTGGCCGGCCCAGGGACATGGACCCGATTCCTAGGCGGTTGGGCATTGCAATACAGTGCTGACTCTTCTGAAGATGCACTGTCTGCACTGTCTGCAATATGTGCAGTAATTCCTCTCAGCGTATGTAGGAGAGTTCAGATAATGTCAACAGTCACTTTATTTGCGACTTGTACGCGTCACACCGAGCGCCGACGCCGATCGATAGCGGCAGCCAAGACAGACTTATCATCATCATAATTCCAGTCCTGTCATTGAACTGATATCTCTCTTTTTGTAGACATCTTGTCGCATAAACACGGGGCTTGTCTCTCAGAAGCTTGTTCTCATCAGCGTTGGGATGGTGCCGGTTAAGCGTTTACCAGGTGTAGCGTTTATCCCAGCATTTAGTCTTTTACCCCTCAGGATCCGCGGGGAGCCAAGTCTTAGCCGTCCGCATGACATGAGATTGGGGTCCATGGCAAAACAATCAGTGCATCACTCATGAATACTATTCCAGACAGACTCGAGACGCGGAATGCGCCTGTCACTGGTTCATGCATGCATCCACATCCACATCTACATGCATGTCACCTATGCATATGCATATCCTGCCGGCATCGGCATTGGATAATTCTGGAGGATTTACCCCAGACTAATGGCATTATATGACTCTTCCGGCTATTATTTATATCGCCCATTATTGGGATTGGCATTGGCAGTGAGCAATTGAGGAAATAGTGAAGAAATTGAGAATATTGGAATATCATGCCCCTCCGAATCATCATCGTCGGCGCCGGCCTCATCGGCCCTCGCCACGCCCAATCCGTCCTCTCCAACCCATCCACCGAGCTGTTGGCCCTCATCGACCCAGCCAGCAGCGCAGCCCTCATCGCCTCACAGCTGCAGACAAATCACTTCCCCTCTATTCCCGCCATGCTAGCGGCCATCCCCAAACCGGACGCCGCCATCATCTGCACCCCGAACCACACCCACGTCCCCATCGCAACAGAGCTGCTCTCCCACGGCATCCACATCCTCACCGAGAAACCCCTCAGCGACAGCCTCGAATCAGCCAAGTCGTTGCTAACTTTCGCCCGCCGCCCCGAAAACGCCCACCTGACTGTCCTGGTTGGCCACCACCGTCGCTTCAACCCGTATGTTCGGAAAACCAAGGAGATACTGGATAGCAACTCCCTCGGTACCCCAATCGCAGTCAACGGCCTCTGGACACTCTATAAGCCTGAATCCTACTTCGCCCCGCCAACGGACTGGCGTCGTGTCAGTCCCTCGGGGGGCGTAATCCCCATTAACCTCGTCCACGATATCGATACACTGCAGTACCTCTTCGGCCCGATTACCCGCGTCCACGCAGAGAAGACACCACCGCAACGAGGTAACCCGCCGCATGAAGTCGAAGAAGGCGCAGCCCTGATTCTGCGCTTTGCGTCTGGTGTTGTGGGCACGTTCCTCGTTTGTGATGCGACGCCGTCTCCGTATAACTTTGAGATGGGGACGGGGGAGAACCCGCTCATTCCTGGTCCACCCGGGGGAAGCGAGGGTGGTGGAGCGGACTTCTACCGGATCTTTGGCTCCGAAGCGTGTCTTAGTGTGCCGGATATGACGCGGTGGAGTTATGATGGGCGGGCGGAGAAGAGTTGGACGGAGGAGTTGGTTGTGGAGAGGTTTGAGGTTGACCAAAAGGCTGCGCCGTTTGATTTGCAGCTGGCGCATTTTGTGGAGGTGATTGCCGGGAGGGAGCGGCCGAGGTGTTCTGGGGAGGATGGATTACGGGCGTTGATGGTTTGTGAGGGGGTGAGGAGGGCGTTGGAGACGGGGGAGGCGGTTGAATTGCCTCGGGTATAGTCTGCATACGCTAGATTGGTAATGAAGAGCAAATATAAGTAGTAGATAATATACAGACAGGAGATTACGGGCCTTGAACATGGCTCCCAAACTTCATATTACATTAAGCTACTGACCAGTATATTATCGGTGCGGTTAGTTCTATGAACTGCTGCTGACCTGGCCGACTATACATATACATGCTAGACCTTGGGCAGGTCCTCTGACAAGTGCTCCACCTGCTGGTCACCGGTCTTGCTATACCCCGATTCCTCAATGTCATGACGGAACCGTTCCTCATCCTCCCGAAGTCTAGCCAGGACAGTCTCATGAGCACGCCAAATCGGCCTCGACTCAAACAAGGCGTCCATGCTCTCCAGCGGGATGCCCTTGGTCTCCGGAAGGAGGAAAAACACAAAAACGATGGACAGCACCATCAGAGACGCAAAGAAGAACCACACGCCGTACTCCATCTTGGCGAACATCTGCGGTGTGAACCGCGAGATGAGAAAGTTCCAGAACCAGTTGGACGCGGCCGCACAGGCCTGTGCCAGGGAGCGCATGTTGGGCTCGAACATTTCCTACCATAGTCAGTAAAACAATTGACGCAGGTGAATAATGGGCATACCGAATTCATAACCCAAGGAGTGCCGTTCCATGACGGAGTGTAAAAAACAGTGTAAAGGTAAAAGAAGAACATGGCCGCAATGCCGCCCCCGGTCATCTCCTGAGTAGGGTTAGAGGCCGGGTCGGCGATCTTGATATAAGCGCCAACAATAAACAAACAGACTGATGCGCCTGCAGCTCCGATCAACAGCAGCAGACGCCGTCCCAAGCGGTCTATCAGGTAAAGGAGCCAGACAAAGGTGACCACTGTCTTGACAACTCCAAAAATACCGGTGCTGAACATGCTGGTGTTTGCACCCTGGAGACCAATGCTCTTGAACACCGTGGGGCTATAGTAGTTGATGGCATTGATGCCACTGCCGTTCTGCCAGAAGAAGAGCATGCTTCCGAGGAAGAGGCGATACATGACCTTTTTGTTGGTTCCGGCGGCCTTGAACGGCTTCCAGAAGCCAAGACCAATGGTGGCGCGCTGCTCCTCCAACGCCTGGTCGACTGCGCCGATCTCCTCGATCATGTATATGTGATCCGCAGGCAGCTGACGGATCCAGCAGAGATTCTTGATGGCATCTTCCCGACGTCCGCGCGAGAACAGCCAGCGCGGAGACTCCTTGAGGAAAACTGCACCGATGAGGAGCAGACCGGATGGAATCAACTGGACAGCAAAGGGAATGATCCACTGCTTGTGGCTGGGAGCCAGAGTTTCACTGACGCCGTACTACACGGGTTAGCATCTGAAGGTGACATAAAGAGGATGGCGTACATTGATCCAGAAGCCCACCAGACCACCAATCTGCCAGCCTAACTCGTACACTCCAACCAGTCGTCCACGAATCGAGGGTGGAGCCATCTCGGAAATGTAGATGGGAGTGATATTTGAGCCCGCACCGACACCAAGACCGGCCAGAACACGTCCTCCGTAAAGCAGGCCCAGCCCCCGATCACCGTCGGCACCAAGCATGAGACCAGCGCCAAGGGTGAAAATCGCACCGGAAAATAGCAGACCCCATTTCCTACCCCAGAAATGACCGACGGGGTAGGCTAAAAAAGCGCCGAAGAAGGCGCCGGCCTGGTAGCAGGAGACGATGTTGGCGCTCACAAGATTGACCGCCGTCTTGCTCATGGTGTTGAAACCAAACTCTTCCCTGAAGGAGCTGAGGGCGAGAGTGGTTCCGATAAAGGCACTGTCATAGCCAATCATGCATGATGTGAAGGAGGCCACGGCGGCCAGCAGGTAGATCCTCCAGTTGTAGACTTCTTTTGGAGTTGGTCGATCTTCGACCAGAGCAAGGATGGACATTGTGCAATCTATGACTCCGGGTACGAGAATGTCGATTCAATGGTACAAAGGGTGACTGGAAGGTGAGAAGAAAGTTGATGGAGGCATCAACTGTATCTAAATAGCCAACAAGCCACAGCTGTGGATAAACGGTCCGAGATGAAAAGTCTGGGGATCTCGACAGCGTGGAGATGCGGAGACGGAGGAGTTGCTGAGAACTCTGGTTAAACCATTAAAGCGCCATAATGGAGTAGAGGGGAGAGCATTCGGAAGAAAGCATATTAAACTTTGCATCGTCTAAATGTTTAGCAATAAGAATATAGCAGTTCATGGCACCCTGGGAACAACTCCGATACCGCTGAGAGTAATGAAAGCCAAGACTGCTAGAGTTCCAGCAATTCAAGTATGACACGTCTTCAACCAGCTCGAAGCGAAGATTCAGATGGACCGGTGACCAATCGCCATCTCGGTCAATGGGTCCGTGGCTGGAAAAGGGATACGCCGGCTGATATTCGGTCGTGGAAACTGAACGAGTTTGGAATATGAGAATGTGGTTCCCCACGGGGATCAACCATGGCGATCTGACAAACAGACTGAATATGACTCGTCAAGCAGAAGATGATTAGGCGGGAAAGCGTTCTCCCCGTGAAGACTTTGCCATTCGTATTGTTAGCGCTGAAGCCAAATTTCTAGCGTACCTTGGCACTCGGATATCGTCCGAGAGCCAGCTGAAAGATTCAGTATGGAAGTTCTCTTGATGAGATGATGATGGATTGATAATAATAACGTTGAGAGTTGATGCGTGACAAAGGTGATGGTGGAATTGGAAGAAGAAAGTCTGAAAGTGATGGAGAAAGACTGGGGATGGCTAAGCAAACATCCGAGTCACGCGCAGCTAAACGTTTCTCCGGGATGCAACTACAACCTCACTAGTACTACAGTTACGTCCTAGGTAGTATGTTAAGTATCAAGTTTCTACATCTTCATTCCAGACCGTGAATCGTACATCAACATTGACCTGAATAGCGTCAAGCATCCCATTGTCCTGCAGTACGATGGCCTCCCAGATCATGGACACCGTGTCCGAACAACAACCCCCAGAAGAACCCATCAGCAACCCCGACCACTTCGATGGAGTGGCATATCTCTACGGCCATCCTCTGCTCAACTCTCTATCTCCCCCCCTCCATCAAACAATATACACAACCCTCGGTCTAAACTGGACCCAGATCCCTCTCTCCAGTGTCTACGGGACATCAGAAACCTACCCTCCACCATACACCCGCTCACCCCCGATCCCCAAATTTTTGGCATCCGTCAAGTCCAACCCCAAGTTCGTCGGCTCCTCCGTGACCATGCCATGGAAAGTCACCATCATGCCGCACCTCGACGACCTCACCGAGGACGCCCGCCAAGCCGGCGCCTGCAACACCATCTTCCTCCGCCCTGAAGCCGATGGCACTACTTCCTACGTCGGCACAAACACAGACTGCATCGGCATCCGCGAGGCTCTTCTCCAGAATTCCACCGGTGAGAAGGCATTCCGCAACAAGCCCGCCCTCATTGTCGGCGGAGGCGGCACCGCCCGTACAGCGATCTACGTGATGCGCAGGTGGCTGGGCTGCAGCAAGATCTACGTCGTCAATCGTGATGCGGCTGAAGTAGCTGCCATTCTTGAGGAGGACCATCAGCGCAATCCCAGCCCCAACAAGGCTCCGCTCGTCCATGTGACGGATCCCTCGGTGGCGGCTCGTCTGGAGCCTCCCGCGGTCATTGTCTCGGGGATCCCCAATTACCCTCCCAAAACGCCGGGGGAGGTCCAAGCCAGGGAAGTGCTGCAAGTGTTTCTAGGAGAGACCCCTCCAACGACGTCAAACTCCAAAGGCGTGATTCTGGAGATGTGCTATCACCCTGTGCCGTGGACGGAGATTGCGCAGCTGGCCTCGACGGCTGGGTGGAAGGTGATTCTTGGTTCGGAGGCGTTGATCTGGCAGGGCTTGGAGCAGGCAAGGCTGTGGACTGGTAGGGACGTGGTTGCGGAGCCTGGGCTAGTGGAGAAGGTCAAGAAGGTGGTGGGCAAGTTGATTGCTGAACGGGTGCCGTCCAGATCGAATTTATAGCCTGCATGTATAAAAGATTGCTGTACATAGAGTCTCTCTAGACGAATACATTCATGAAATCTATGCACCAGGTCGTGTATAATCCAACTCCCTCACGCGCTTCCACACCTCCCTCACAGTCCTCTCCTGCGTCTGTCTCCCTGTCTCGGTTTCGGACGGCCCAGCGGGCCTAATAGCCAGATACAACCGACTCCCCAAGCGCACCTCCTCTATCGGATCCGTCTCCGAATTCGCAGGCGGATTCGCCGTTGTGACCAAGCCTCCAGCCTCAAGCAGAATTGCAATACCGGCAGCAACATCCCTGACATCCCTCAAATCAGCTTATGTCCGTAAAGTGAAACTCCAGGGGACGTACCACTCCCAACACCCCCCCTCCCACCAAATATCCACCGCCCCCATAGCCGTATACGCCAGATCCAACGCCGCACTCCCCAGGCTCCGTACCCCGTGCACCATCCCCCCACTCTCCGCAGCCATACCCACAAAACTCTCAACCTTGCGCGCCAGGTTTTCCCCAGGGATATCCCGTCTATCCTTCCCCCATTCACACGCAAAGATGCACCCCCTCGGCGACGTGGCCGGCATCGGGGGGATGGGGTTACGGCGTAGCGGCAGACGGCGCGAGCCACGGGGGTCATTCAACCAGGCGCCTCGGCCGACACAGGAAGAGAAGAGCTGGTTCATGGCGGGGGCGTAGATGACACCGATAACTGGGCGGTTGTTGACGAGAAACCCGATCGAGACGCAGAACGTGGGGAAGAGGTGGGTGAAGTTGACGGTTCCTTCAGCCTAGGTTAGCACTACCCTAGCCAGAAGTGGATGGGTGGAGGTGGGGATACCGTCTAGAGGATCGATGCACCATGTTGGATGTGCGTCGATTAAGTACGAGCGGGATTGGCCCTGTGCGTAGGTTTCTTCGCCGAGGAATCTGGTTGCTAGATTGTTAGTATGCGCCTCGTAGGGGTGCAGACTTGCAGGTGACTGGACTGGACGGACTTGTGCTCGGGGTATCTCGTCTGAATTGAGGTTTTGATGAATGTTTCCACGTCTAGCGTAACTTAGTTACTTTCTTTCTTTGGTGGACGTGGTGGATGTGTAGATGGGGATACCCTCGTCTGTCTGCGTGACAATGTCAACTGCATTGTCCTTCTCTGCGTATGTGTATGCGGTCTCGTCATCGCCTTCGATCTGCCTATCGATGCGCTCGAGGAGAAGGTCGCCGGCTTTACGACCGAGATCGACTGCAAAGGCGTAGATCTCGTCTAGTTGGTCTTGGGTAAATTCTATAGCCATTTTGTTGAAGTTCCTCTATGAAGTATGAATTGTGTATGCAGATTGGGAAGCTAGATAAGTGAAGAGAGATCGCAAGCCAGTGGACTGGGATGCCATGTCCTCAAGAAACCCAGAAACCCAGAAACCCGTGAGTAACCGCTCCGGATATTTGGCATTGCAAGCATCCTACTACGGAGTACAGGTGAGTCGATGGGTTAGATACTATCCATATTCTAGACCGAGGCTCAGATGACCGCTACGAGGCCATCCTCTGACCTCAGCATCCGATGCATCATGCCAATGACACTATGGATAGTCAATAGATATGGGACTTCTCTTCATGATAATAGGGATTATATACAATCTCATAGTTCTCATCTATCAGCGATTCAGTAGACCGGGGGGCTGTGGATACTCGGCGCGGCCTGTATTCCTCTCCGGCAAAGCGCTCTTCCCTCGGGCTTTCGTTTCCCCATGCTCTTATAGCCACTCCGCATTAATGGCAATAAGCTCTACGGTGTAGTCTCTGGATATTTGCAACAGATACTACTGACAGATAGATTATCCATGTAAGGATAAGACGGCGATCTCGTAGACTGTAGATTTCAGTTCCCTGCAACCACTACATTTCAGACTGTTCAGTCCACATCTAACATCAATCAACTTCGCCATGGGCAAATCAATACTCCTCATCAACGGCCCCAACCTCAACCTCCTCGGCACCCGTGAGCCCCAAATCTACGGCAGCACGACCCTCGCCGACGTCGAAGCCTCCTGCAAAGCCCACGCCGAGTCACTAGGCGCCACCCTCGCCACCTTCCAGTCAAACCACGAGGGCGCGATCATCGATCGCATCCAGGCCGCCCGTGGAAACGTCGACGGCATCGTCATCAATCCCGGTGCTTTTACGCATACCTCTGTGGCGATTCGGGATGCGCTGCTGGGGGTGGGAATCCCATTCATCGAGCTGCATGTGAGCAATGTGCATGCGCGCGAGCCCTGGAGGCACCATAGCTATTTCAGTGATAAGGCGGCTGGGATTATCGTTGGATTGGGGGTGTATGGGTACAAGGTTGCTGTGGAACACGTGGCGTTGAACTTTAAGGAGAGGGCGATTTTGTAGTCCGCGCTGGGTAATCTCTTCGTATACCCTATGTACATTCACATCAATGAACAACAAGCGTCAAGCTCAAGTACAGTCCATAGCAACTGACGTCTGTCATCGCTTCGGCTGTCGTTCTCGTTGTATGGCGGCAGAACCCTCGGAAAGCTGCTGGGTCTGTGCCAGTAGAAAAGGCTCTTGACTGGAGTACGAGTATAGATCCGAAAGCCCGGCATCAGGGACAAACCCCAGATTCTGCATAAATTCGGGCTGGTTATCACCCCTGTCCAGCAATCAGCCATCAGTCAGCAGTCGTCAAGAGACAAAACGTCACTCACTTCTCGGTACCGTCCAACGAGGCCAGCTCGTCAAATAATGCATCAAGGTCTGGCGCGATTCGCGGTCGGCGTAATGATGCGTATCCTTCAATATCAATAAATGTCCCGAGGTGCAGATTCGGATCGCTATACGTCTGCTGGTACTGGGGGGTGTTTACGGGAAAGGGCGATGGTATGTCTGGTATTGTACTTCCGTCATTGATGAGTTTCGGAGCGGAAGAAATCGAAGAATGGGGTCTTTGGGTGGGGATTTGTAGTTGGGAGGCGTGACGCGAAGATCCAGCGGCTCTAGCAGGTGTCGGTAGAGATAGAGTAACGTTGTCTTCAACGTTCGGCGTCCTTGTCCAGGAGCTTGTCAAGAACGAGTCCGGTGTGGAGAACATAGCCCGAACCTCGTGTTGTCCACTAGCGTCCAAAGGCTGCAAGGCCGGATGGCCGGTCATACTGTCCGATGATGCATGTCGAGCAGATGCATTACCGTTATGTAGATGACTTAACGGGTCCGTTGGCGTCGGTAGGAATGCATCTTCCGCTCCCAGTGAGAGGCCAGTCCCCTCTGTATCGCTGTCTTGCAACCATACCGTAGAAAGATGCGAGGAATATGCTTCAAGTTTGTTCTTGAGGCCTACATCAAGTTCAAACTCCCCTGGCGCGCCTTGCCCCTCCCCGGGGGAGATACCAAACGTCAAAAGCATTCCGAAGATTGGACTTGTCGCCGCCAGGCTATAAGTTTCCATGTACTTTTGCAACAGCAGCATGAGCCTCTTTAAGCTCTCAATCGCACGAGTCTTTCTCATGTCTGACATATGTTTATCCCCCTGGCGTATAGTATCCAAAGATAAAGCGGTGACGCTGCTTTCAAACATCATTTCCAATCCAAATATGTGAGGCGAGGCAAGCCTGGTGGGACTTTGCAAGTCAACACGGTAGCTCCCGGGGAGGGCCGACACCCAATGTTGTAACTGTCGTTCCAGCGCCTCGAGTTGTGGTGCCGGATTGTTCTCCAATTGCTTTGTGCAACAAGCCTCGTTCAAGATGCACATCAAAGAGACCATCCGGTTGAATGTGCTCAGGGCATGAAGGGGTCCACGGTGAGAAGGACCACGCGACGATTCTGGGGGTCGCAGACCGGTCTGATCTTCCCAAGGATGCCATTCCTCCAGACCATCCTCATTTATCGGGCCGGTCTTGACCAGATCCTCTTTGCGTAGCGACGGTGCCTGACCAGTCTTGCTGGAAATCAGTGTTTCCAGTACGAAACACCCTAAGAAGACGTGTTTTGACCGTGCCGAGCCCTTCTCGTTTCCAGCCATGCCAGTCAGTGGAGAACCCAAACCCAGCCACCGTGCAATTCGAACTGCTTGCCCTACCAGCATCCACGCATCTTTCCATTCCTGTTGTCCGAGTTTCACCAAGGACAGAATCAGCAGAGCCTGCACATGCCCAATCTCATGAATGCCCTTCTCGGCGGGTATCAATGCTCTTGCGGTGGCGTATAGCTGACTAGAGCGTGGCCGGTTTGGAGAAACTCCCATCTGACGCGTGGCCGCGATCGACCTCTCTTGCATGGACGCCAGAGTCAAAACTGCCCAAAGGGCCGCGCAGTCCCCGGACCCTGTCGTCCGAGGCAAAATTTGCGCATTATCTTCAGACTGACGGAATGCCGTTCGAAGTATATCATGCTTCTCGAGAATGGGAAACCAACACTGTGTGTAAGAAAAGTAGACATCAAGCAGCGTCCACACATTGGAGGGAAGTTGAGGAAGGGTTGAAGACTGTGATTGCATAAAAGGTTGCGACAGAACGCTCCCTGTAGAGGTGCCAATGGTATCTGAACGGAGGACTGTCTGGGTGCTGCTGTCTTTTGTAGTACGAGGCGGCAGATCCCTGGGGACGGCTCCATGTGACGGCGTTTCGGAAGGAGATAGAGCAGCAGTCAGTGATTGACGTGCATCCGTGGCACCTTCAGGTAGCTGCCACTCGAGCGTGTCCGAGGAGAGCACACTGCTCCCCCCAGCTTCCGGAGAATCTGTCTCCCCAGGCCCTCGAATGGCCTTGTCCTGTTCCTCCTCCGGCTGGTCCAAGAAAGTCAACATGCGCTCTATCTCCTTGAGGACGGCGCTATTCTTCCAGGATGAGACAAGATCATCAGAACCCTCCGCCTCTTTGCCCATAGTAGCCAGGTGACTCGGCATATTGGCTGCCCTGAGTAAGGCGCGGACCACCTCCTCGCTCCCCTTTATCTTACAAAAGACTAGCCCCCACAGCAACTCCAACGTGCGAATGTATCCGGTCGGCAAGCCTCGCTTCTTGGGGTTGGTCTTGTAAGTGCAAGGTCGACATAATGATGCGCAAGTCGAGCAGACCGGCTGCACCCCATCGCATTTATCCTTCTTGGAGCGACAGCTGTCGCAGGCACGCGACACTCGTTGCCGCTTAGATTGTGTGGAATTGTCGTCAGTAGGCATGCGTCTGGCATCTTCGTCGGTTTCGGTCAATCGCCGTTTCGACCTGCTACCGGCCCCTGGGGATTGGCGCATATCGTTGCTCATGATTTTCTGTACAACGGGCCACCAGAGCGTTCTGGACGCATGGTCATGTTTGGCCCGTTATCACCGAGATGAACGCTTTGCCGGACGTTGATGTCAATCGGTCGACCGGGGTCTTTGTCGCTCGAGTATTAGGAATAGGCCTAGAAACTAGTCTTGTTAAAGACAAGCTCTTCTGCTCGACAGAGACCGCAGACGGAGCTAAAACCAACTGGAGATAGAACGCGCCGTATCAGAGATCTGTCTCTTTTGCCAGGGCGGAGAAGAGAAACTCGAAAAGGAGCCCTTTTTTTTGCTGGGAGGCTTCGGGGAGAACCACAAACTGCTTACCCGCGGCTGCACTGATGCTAGGTCTTGCTCATACGTGCTCGATTTGATGTCAGACTAGTAAAACGGCAGGAAATAGTACAGTCGATTAATTGCAATTATCGCCTGCTGATTGAACAGATTAGCAAATGCTTCGAGACAATCCCGAATTCTGGGGGGATGGCCCCAGGCATCAATTACCGACGCCTTCGATCCCCGCGGGGTAAATTACGTAAAGTGACAGTATCATGCGCGGCAGAGTGTTTGTCCGCTGTGCCTCAGGCCACCAGGCGCGAAGGGGTCTTCCCTACGGGCCACGAAGAAGGAACAATCTGACGCTGTCCTGACTGTCCCCCACAGCTTGGACTATTCTCTGGCCGTCCAACTCCTCTTCTTGGATTCATGAGGCGCACAATCTGGTCGAACTTAATTGGTGTCTGCCATATCAATCAATACATTGGTTCTTTCTTCCTAAACGCTCACATTGAATCATCGCTCATAAGCAGCTTCTTTCAACATGTGCAGCTTTAGAGTCTCCGAACGTTCATGAGCTTCAAGTCCAAGATTTCTTTCCAACGACATGTCGATCCTAGCGAGGCCGGCAAAGCGCAAGTTGGATGAGGTTGAGCGGATTGAGGCACCGAATAGACACCTTTCTGCTCGGGGCAGTCGCAACCATGGCATCGTCTCAGACGCGATCCAACCATCAATCCTCGCATCTGAACGTGATGCCGCTCTTCCTAGGCCCGAATCTTGTCCGAGGCACGAACAGTCGGATACGTGTAGCGAACATCATTGGTACTCAAACTCTCCGCGCACGTTGAACTCGAATCGCGCATCCCCAACACGCCTCGAAAGTCCTGCGCAAACACAGAGGATTTTCTCTCCTAATGCATCGATTGTATTGATTGGTATCCGCGGTACTGGAAAATCCAGTCTCGCTGTCATTCTCGCTGCGACCTCGGGAAAACGGATGATCGATGCGGATCAGTATTTCCAGCAGGTGACGGGTCGTTCCCGGGCTGCATTCAAGAAGGAATATGATCTCACCGAATATCGTCAGCAGGAGGCCCGAGTGATGGAGTCAATGCTTGCAGAACACAAAGAGGGGTGTGTCATTGCGTGTGGACCCGGATCCATGGAGCGCAGCGGGCAACAATTGCTGCGGGAATATGCGAAGACACATCCTGTCATCCACATTATTCGAGATCCCGAAAGCATCCAGTCGTATTTGAAAGCCTGGGATACGGTCAAAGTCCGCCGGTTTCTGGAGCTTTCTGGCCCGGTATATCGGGCTTGCTCGAACCTGGAGTTTTTCAATGTCTCCGAGAAGGGTCTCGCAGATTACGCCGGAAAAGACAACCATAACCACTCGCCTCTGGACTTGGAACTCGATCAGCGATCCCAAGCTTCGACTCCCTTCTTGACTCTCAAGCGGTTACAGCGCGATTTTTTGAAATTTGTTGCCTTTGCAACCGGGGACAGTACCATCCTGAGTGGTCAGCAAGCCTCGTTCCCACTGTCGATGCAGCCGGTTGAGTCTCGTATGTTCACCTACGCTGTGACTGTGCCAATATCATCCTTGTTTGAGCGCGAATTAGACATTGAGGATCTGGAATCCACCGCCGATGCCTTTGAGCTCAAGGTGGATATAGCGGAAGGTGCTTCCGACGGTCAGGGCATTGACTCGGCTCTGGCAGACAGAATAAGTCAAGCTGTGGCGACTATCCGGCGAAACATCGTCATTCCCCTGATATACCATGTCGAAAGTAGTTTAACCCCTGTAGGTTCTCCTGTGCAACACAACGGGCCCTTACGCCGCTCGGATGATGCATACCTGAGTCTGGTCAAACATGGGTTACGACTAGCTCCTGAGTACTTGACTGTCGATCTCTCCTACAGCGATGATATTTTATCACAGGTCATTGCTTCCAAGGGGACGAGCAAAGTGATCGGGCATTTCGCATGGTCCCATCCTTGCCCAAGAGGTTGGGAGGATGCGGAACCACTGGCAATGTACGAACGAGCCAGACGACTAGGATGCGATATGGTTCGATTGACGCAGCCGGCAACGACAATCGAGGATAATTTCGCTGTTGAAAGATTTCGTCACCATGTCAGAGGTCTTCCGTGGCAGCTACCTGTGATAGCCTTCAATACCACCCCTCTGGGCAGAATGTCGAGCTGCTTCAACCCCGTTCTCACATCCGTGACACCTCCACCACTGTTAGCAGAGATGCAGTCCAAGTCATTACCCTCTCTCACCTTGCGTGAGGCGCAAGAAGCACTCTACGCCTCATTCGCTCTGGATCCGATGCAGTTCTTTGTTTTCGGCGCGAACGTCACATACAGTCTGTCCCCTGCGATGCACAATGCAGCCTTCAAAGCATGTGGCATACCGCATAAATATACCATTCATCAGTCGCCTTCCCTGCGAGGTTTGAATGAATTAGTCGAGAACCCCTATTTCGGCGGGACAAGTGTCAGTCTGCCCTACAAGACAGAAGTTATTCCCCTTCTCCACTCCATGTCACCGCATGCTCGGGCTATCGGAGCTGTGAACACGTTGATACCCATCCGGAAGTTTCCTGATGGCGTGGACACCGCTATTGAGTCTTCACTTTATCTTGAGAAGAGCCGGGCTGGTCCCACCAAGGCGTTGCACGGAGATAACACCGACTGGATCGGGATAGGAAATTGCTTCCGAAGAGGGCTGTCGCCCGCCAATGCCATCCGTCCTTCGTCCACAGGTTTGGTTATTGGAGCGGGCGGTATGGCTCGGGCGGCAGTGTACTCAATGATCCACCTAGGGGTGCAAAACATCTTCATCTACAATCGTACCATGGCCAACGCAGAGAAGTTGGCTCACCACTATAACCGACAGAATCTTTTGGCGCATGGATGGGGAGGGCCGAACTCTCGCTCGAAAGTCCACACCCTACAGTCTTTGCAGGATAACTGGCCTTCCGATTACAAGCCGCCGACCGTCATTTGCAGCTGCATACCTGCTCATAGTATCGGAGGAGTGCCAGCGCCCAACTTTCAGTTACCTTCGCAATGGCTTGGGAGCCCTACCGGAGGCGTAGTAGTGGAGGTAAGTTCTAAGCATCGCTTCAAGAGACGAAGATTAATATCATGCAGCTGGCCTACAAACCTCTGAATACCCCGCTCATGAAGCAAATGCGCGCCCTCTCCCATCGAGGCTGGGTTGCCCTTGATGGGCTCGATGTTCTCCCAGAGCAGGGATTTGCGCAATTTGAGCTCTTCACGGGTCGCCGTGCTCCACGGCGAGTAATGCGTAGGATCGTGTTGCAGGAATACCAGGAAGTGGAGGGACAAGATGAGCAAAGCGCCATCCAAAGTAGGCTCGAAAATCTTGACGGACAGCCTACTTGATCCAGTCCCTTCAGGAATTATCAATAATGCTCTGAGCAGCCTCCGTGAGGGAGGGACCTGACCAAGACTTCAAGCCATTGGCCACTGCACTCTACAAGAGTTTATGGTGTCTCGTCGGACATTACATGACAATCCGGGAATGGGAGAACTGTCTATAGCCAAGTATCTCACTTGTCTCAATCAGGGCAGGGTCTGAAACGGAGATGGATCATCATGGCTTATCTGCACGTACTTCTTTTACGTCAAGCCAAACGGTGAGTATGAGGCCAGAGGCACGCTGCAAGCAAATCGACGTATCATTAGCTTCGTAGCGGCTATCCTATCATTCACAATCATAGTCAATTTTCGACAACTTGAGAACATCCTCATCAAATCCCGACATCATCTTAACAGAGACGACCTGGTCAAAGTCACACTCTCAGTTCTTCAGAGAAACCGGCAGTAGTCCAGGTCGAGCCACCAGCACAAAATTCGCACAACTCAACCTCTCATGATCCGACATCCGATGCACGACAATCGACCGATTCCCGAAATAGGCAGGCTCACCCGGCTTCGTCGATAGGTAGAGGTCATTGTACCGCGTTTCAAATCCCTGATGATCCGCCGTGACGATGGGTCCGTGTTTCCCGCTCAAGTCGCCGATCTGGCAAGTCTGCGGGCTCGTCATGTTGCAGGCGGCCTTGTCCCCGCGCCCGTACGGGTCAAAGGGGTTACCGGTTTGGTAGCAGTTGCCGTCGGCGGGGACGGGGTCCTCGTGGATGTAGTATGCTGCGCAGGTTGTCAGTTAATGCAAGGGACGAGGAGGCACTACGTACCTAGGGCTTCATTGTCGGGGATTCCCCAGAAGTCGGCGTGGACTTTGACGCCGTCTCCGTCTCGGGGTGCGAAGAGAGTGATCCAGCCGCGCAGGGTCGTGTTTTGCCTATGTGGGAGAGTGGCCTCGTACAGAACGTCGCCGCTGTCATTGTCATTCGTCACGACGGGGGCAAAGGTGCCGTTTGGGGAGACGGCCACGGCAGTTGATGAGACGCTGAGTCCCAGAAGAACAAGGGTTATGAGGATGGACTGCATGTCGTCGTCTGACAAGCAATCAGATTTCCTGATTGAATAATATTAATTTCAGGGTTGTCCCTGGTTCGTCCCCTACAAGGGTGACGGGAGGGCGCGACTGCGTTTATATCAACCCTTGAAAGGAGTCAAGGAGGCTAGATGTATCTAGATGTCCGCGGAACTCAACCACAAAGAGTCATCGCTCGATCACGGAAATCGAAATAGTAGCAACATTTTTACCCTGCCTCCTGCTCCTGATTGCAATTCATGAATTCATTGGTCGGAACGCCTCACCATCGGGAATGTACGCGCTCCGCCGCAGTAATGCATGCCTCTGCAGTCCCGACGCCACGGGTTTCTTTTCCATCTGTCCCCTGCAGTATCTCCCTGCAGTATGTCTCACTGCTACCGTAGGTTTTTAAAATGCAATGCTCTGTTATCGCTGGTCGATGAGGTCATGCGAGCTGCATTGGAATGAAAGACGCGGTTATGCGATTGTGCTTCACAAAGGCACGCGAGGAATGTGGCTTGGTAACGGTGCCTTGAATCGTCATCGTCCATTGAAGCATACCTATTATTCGAGTCAGTACCTCTGCAGTCCCTCTCTAAAGACCACTCTAAAGAGGTAGAGAGGTATTGCTCCTCGAACTCCGTTGCTTCCATTCATTCTGCTCAGATTGGGGTCCTTTTACCAGTAACATCTATGCGCGACAAGGAAGTTCGAGGACAATCAATTAGTATACATATACATGGCACTGAATAAATGGAGGACGGGGAGCCAGCATCTCCTTGATGATCAGAGAGATAGAAGTAGGAGTCCTCGGCAACTAGGGAGATACCCAGAGACGGTTCCCCTCATCGGGATATTTTAGCCCGGAATTCTGATCAGCAGGCAGGATTGAATTTATAACAGCGACTGATTATCGTCCCACATCTCCTGAACTATATTGATATCCTATCGGTAGTAAAGGATGCCCCGCAATGTTCTAAGCCTTGTCTCAGTACATCCGAACCCTCGGATTTCCCCCCGTGTCTAAGTCAGCTGTAGCAGCTATGCTTCTGATATTAACCAGAGGAGTGCATCGGAGGGTGTCCGGCCCCACGGACAGACTCAGATTATATATTTAGAATGTCGCTAGATCGTGGAACTGACTGAACACATCATCACTACAATGACTCTCGCCCAAAACCACTACGTGATACAACTCCCCGTAACCCCCATACCAATCGGGACACTAAATCCCCGCGACATCTCCCAGCAATGGCTCACAAACCTGGAGATGCAACTGGGCACATCGCCAGTCCCCCAGCTCAAGCTCAAGCTCTCAGCGCTCTTCCATAATGACTCGTGGTGGCGCGACATGCTAGCTCTAGACTGGGACTTTCACACCATCCACACCGTCTCTGAGATCGAGCAGTACATCAGCCGGAACCAGCCACAAGCCCGTCTCACGGCCTTCCGTCTCCAGCACGATGGCAGGTTCCAGCCAAGAATCGAGAAGCCGGTTGAGGGACTACGGTGGATTTCATCGATGTTCTTCTTCGAGAGTCGGGTGGGACGTGGCACGGGTGTGCTGCGTCTGACTCAGGATGAGGCCGGTGTGTGGAAGGCGTACTCGCTCTATACGAGTCTGCAGGAGCTGAGGAGCTTTGAGGAACCTCTGGGTCTACGCCGCCCGGAGGGGACCATCGAGTCGATGCCAGGGAATTCGAGTAAAGAGAATTGGCTGGAGAGACGCCGGGAGCAGCTTGAGTTCAAAAACGAGGAGCCTACGGCGCTCCTTGTTGGTGCTGGTACTTACTTCGCAATTCACTGTCAATCGAGCGTGCTGACATGCCGTAGGACAAGCTGGTCTCAATATGGCCGCTCGGTTGCAATCACTCGGGATCTCGTGTCTCATAGTCGACCGCAACGAGAGGATCGGTGACAACTGGCGGAAGCGGTACAGGGTGCGTCCATTTTCACTTCTTGATATCGACTCCGTACAGAGTTCTAACTGCTCAAGACCCTTGTGACGCACGACCCGGTAGAGTTCACACACATGGCCTACCTCCCCTTCCCGCGGAATTGGCCCCAGTTCACCCCCAAAGACAAACTCGCAGATTGGTTCGAGGCATACGCCAGTATCATGGAGCTGAACGTATGGCTGAAGACAAGCGTCAAGTCGGCCGAATACGATGACTCGAAGGCCCAATGGACCGTCACTGTCGTCCGCGGGGATACCGGTTCGGAGCGAGTCCTCCATCCCCGGCACATCGTCTGGTGTACCGGCCACTCGGGGGAGCCCAAGATCCCCACTTTCCCGAACCAAGCGCACTTCAAAGGGACGGTGTACCACGGTAGTCAGCACCACGATGCATCCGACTATGACGTGAAGGGAAAGAAGGTGGTTGTTGTGGGGACCGGAAACAGCGGCCATGACATCGCGCAGAACTTCTACGAGAACGGAGCGGACGTGACTATGCTGCAGCGCAGCGGGACGTATGTCATCACAGCGGCCAAAGGGGTGTTGATGCAGCACGAAGGGCTGCACGAGGAGAACGGGTACGTCGTCTCCCTCAACACTGTGACTAACCGCCAACAAACTAACGTACCTAGTCCGCCCACTGAAGAAGCAGACATCATCTCCGAATCGCTCCCGTACCCGGTAAGGTTCGCTCTAGACGTGCATTTCACGAAACGCGCCTACGAAGCCGAAGAAGACATCCTAAACGGGCTCAAGGCCGCCGGCTTCGAGCTCGACTTTGGCGTTGACGGGGCGGGTATCTCCCGCGCGTACATGACCCGTGGTGGAGGGTATTACATTGACGTCGGCTGCAGCCAGCTCATCGCCGACGGCAAGATCAATATCAAGAGGAGTCCTGAGGAGATAGCGGGGTTCAACGACCGTGGGCTGCTCCTGAAAGACGGGAACGCATTAGACGCGGATATCGTCGTGCTGGCCACGGGATACGACAATATGCGAACAACTGTGCGCAAGATATTGGGCGATCGAGTTGCGGATAGGTGTAAGGATGTCTGGGACTTGGACGAGGAGGGTGAGATCAATGCGGTAGGTCAACCCTTCCTGGACTGTTGTCAACAATGCTGATGAAAGACGAACAGATGTGGCGGCCAAGTGGCCATCCGGGATTCTGGTTCATGGGTGGAAACTTGGCCCTGTGCCGGATTTATTCCAAGTTCCTTGCGCTGCAGATCAAGGCGATTGAGGCGGGTCTGGCGTCACAGGATACCGTGCTTGCCAAGCTGTGAAGGACGAAACAGTGGAGACCAGAGGGTCAGTACAGACAATAGATGCAATGGCCGCAGATGATGAAAGGCAAGCTGCACAAGACAGGAAATGAGGCCATCCTAAGAATGGTAGAGTATTCAAAACATATAGAGACAGGAAGACAAGCCAGACCAGGCCCAAACGACACTCATTACGACATTATATCTTCTAGGCATGATGGAGATCGTCTCACCGGGACAAGAGCCCTCTATGTACAAAAGATCAAGAAGAGTGACACGAAAGCAAGTAGATATCTTCGCCGGACGCCTTTCTTTTCGCCATCGGCGAACAAACACATAGAGAGCAGGAAAGCTAAGAAGCTGAATCGCTGAATCACAAAAATATGTAGTCTCTAGCTTAAGAGGCTCCAAGCATGTCGCTCGCGCCGTCGTCAATGATCATTTGCACATCCTTGATCGGATGTAAGAGCATAGGTGGAAGACACATTCTTCCCTCTCCAGCCAATTCTTCCTTCTCGCCGCCGTCATTGTCGACTTTGTAGCCCAGCCACCGCCGCCAGAGATTCGGCGAGAAGCCAGCAGAGTAGAACCAGGTAGTTCCGCGGAAGTTATGCTCTCGGTCACCGAACACAGAAGTTCGAGCACCACCAGATGCGCCGTTGCGGCCGGCGTTGAAAACGGATTCGAGGTACTTTGTCGGCCAGCGACGGTCGATGTACACAGAATGCGGCACGTAGACCGCTTTGAAGCCGTGATGCAACGCAGTGGTGGCAGGCCACATCTCAGAGAACATGGTATGTCGTTTCAGACTTGTCTCCTTGTGCATAGTGAGGAGCAGCTTGCGCGACAGTCGAGAGGCGGTAATGATAGCTGTCCGTCGAGGAGGCATACCGTTCTCCTTATTGTATCCGGTCACATCATCGCGAAGAAGCCAGGTCGTGCCCTCCGGATCATACAGAGGGTTGAACACAATGAGGTCTGCCTCCTCACCTACTCCCCATTCGTTCTGATCCTTCTCCATCGTAGTCTGCGGGATGCCTTCTCCGTCCACCTCCAAAATATCCCGCTCATCGGGGCGTTCAGGTCCCCAGATCGGCTTGTCACCTTGACGATGGAGAGCCTGTCTGTCTCCAGAGGACGGGTCCGAGCCATGTTTGGCGGCCGCACTCCATACATTGTTCGGGCTATTGGTACCGCTCTCAGTTTGTACACGGACTGTATGTCGGAAATCCTCCCAGGATCCATGGACAGAGGGAACATAAAAGCGAGCATTCCTCTCCCACAGCAATTTGCGCGGCTGTTCTCGCGCCCAGCTACCCACTTTGTCGAATAAATGGTACCAGTGGCCTGTGTATCGCACGTCCATCTCCCAGTTCCAGTAGAAGTCGTACTCCGGATGTTGGTGTGCAAAATACTGCATTGGCATGAACGTGCTGCGGTAGACGCCGTGAACGGGCAATCCTCGCGTCCATGTTTCTTCCAACCCAGGATAAATGAGAGCCATCTGCTGTTCCGACCAAAGAGTACCCATGCCGCGGAATTCTTCCGGAAGAGCATCGTTGAGCACGCGCTCGTAGGTCTCGTCGTCCGACCAGATTTGCAAGTTTCCATCTTTGACATGGACTAAGAAATGAATGGTATACTCTCCTCCAGACAGCAATGAGAGCTCCGAAATCAGGGAGCGCAAGTACAGAATGTCATCAGGCGTGAAGTGAAAATCGTGCCATGTCCGAATGACCACTGCCGTTCGAGGTAGGCGATCCGCTTTCGACTGGGACGCTTCATCCTTTTCCTGGGATTGAGAAGAGGACTTTGGAACTCCCACGGGCAAGGAGAGAAAGCGATTCAGCCGCGGCTGAGGGAGGTCTTTGAAGCGGTGGCTATTGAGGGCCACGCACCTGTTCTGAGCAGCAGCCCAGTCGACGTGACGAAAGTCTACAGGAGGCAAATCGTCCCACACACGTTCTGCGCCTTCACGGTGGCCCTCCAAGCCTGCACCGACACCACCTTTCCTAACACTGTATCCGAAACCGTAGGGACCAAGGCGCCCAAACCGTTCGAAGCAAACATCATCCTCGATACCTAGCATCTTATTTGACCCCATAACTGCATCCGGAAACCCACGGGGTACTCCAGGGTAATGCTGCACCTGGGGAATGCGAATAGTCTCCTGCTCATTGAGGAAGCATTCGCGCTTCTCACCATACTTCTTCACGTACTCATCTGATGCGTAATCTGGGTATGGGTTGAAGACCAAACTCGACATCAACGCTTCCTGATCTCTGGTTTCAACGTTGGCCTGACCCTTATTGTTGTCCGAGCCCATGGCCATCTCCTCCATTCCGTCACTTGGATATTCGGGTACCGATTCATTGCGCGGGGCCAATGTTCGAATACCACCATGATACCGTTTCAGGAAAGGGAAGCTCTCCCATTGCGGCGGTTTGGGCGCCACCTTTGGCAGCTCGAGAGCGATTTGCTTCGCATCCGAGGTAATGGTGAAGCGGAATAGGGTGAGGATGAACAAGACTAGTGCAGAGAATAGCCCGAGGCACAGGTATCGCATTATCCGATTCGGGACACGATAGTAACCAACCGGCGCTCGAAAGTGCCGCGCCGAGGCGGCACTATTCAACATTGGCCGATGCGAACCGGCAGAGGAAGACGTGAAGGAGTCGTCGCCGCTGTCCGACTCTATCGAACTGCGATGGTCATGGTGGGTATAATGTGTGCGATGCGGCTGCTTCTCGACGTCCACTACTTGATGGCGAGTGTCTGGGGCATAAGGCGAGGCATGGGTACCGGAGCGCTTCCTCGTCTGGTTGACCATGGTTCACAATGTGCCTGGAAAGGTGGTCATCAACAGTAGATGTTTCCTCTGAGCGACGTCACACAAAAGAGTAAAGGTGCGATGAGTGGGTCGATCGGTGGGCCAGCATCAATGTAATTCCTGAAGGACGAGAGACAAATGCAAGCTTGTTTCAATGTCGGGTCAATCTGTTGTGAACAACAAATACTTGTCAGTAAGAAGTATTGCATCTTGGAAAACGGAGAGAAATGTATACCTCCAAAGGTCTGGGCTCAATCAAAGTCGAAGGTTCGCAATGGTCCCTCTTCTGTCAGGACAAGATCAGATCTCTCATAACTAAAACCGATATCGATACGCTTCTCTGGAATGTGGAGTTGGAATGGGGATATCGCAGGAAAAAGACCCCCCTAGACAAAGTGATACCAAGTCTGATAGGATAGTTGGACCAGCATCAAACAACAAGAGCCAACATCAACTCAGGCAATGAGCATCTGAGATTATCATCAAGCTCAGTCCGCGATATGTCCACCCAAAATCAACAAAACATGCTGCTATCGGCGTTACCCAAGGGATGTCCAGCGCTTGCGCATGACTAGCCAAAGAGTGGGTCCTATTTCCTGTTTTGGCACAACCGCTAGGAATCATAGAGTTCGCAACTCAATATTTGACACTCTGGGGATAGCAGTTAAGATATTATCAGACCTCAAAGGAGGCTTTATAACGATCAATTCTTCTTATCTCGTGCAGCTCTCGTTCCTTACAAGTTGCAGCTGACCAAGTTGAGGAAAAATCTACATTGGGCTAGGCAAATACAGCGACGCTAGCCTATCTTGGTAATATGCTGATTACTGCGTATAGAGGGGGAGGGATGCTCTGGAAGAGGCAATGAACTCTGCTTATAGGGAAGCAGTGGAGAATATTGTACCGTATATGAGCCCGAGAACTGAAGCTTGTATGCATGAGAGTGCTAGGTCTTGTTCAGAGAACTTTCCGAGTACATATCACACGGCGAGATTATGGTCGCCTTTGATTTCATGAACACCTCTTAGTTCCTCGCTTCAAATCCAAGGTAAAAAAAGATGGTTTTGCTGATTAAAGGGTATCTTCCAACTAGATTTGCTTTCTCCATCGCTTCTCGCGTTCCTCCAAGGCGTACAAGCATCAGATAAGACCGCCATCTTGCTCTCGGCTCCTAAACCGGTCAAGTGTGATGGTGCGTCCTTCTGTAGTGTGTCGTATTCATGTACCATGGCAACAGATCATTCGTCCAATATGCAGCCCACTCTCAGTCGAGGCATACCACACGTATTCTGCATGCTCGGAAAGTAGCATGTCTTCGTAGAGCATAGCGGCTGCTTGACGTTTCAACACCGAGTCGTAGGTTCGGTCACACACTCCGGATAACTCCACTAAGTCTTGTGCGCGTCGCAAGGGCCGCACATCATGTATAATCGAGAGCCATTGTCTATCATGCGTTTTTCGTACCCTTGACAACCTCGCCTTTCACCTTCGACCAGTCGATATCGTTATCGATCGCCTCGTCAACTTCACCGCACAGAACCACATTGTCGCCTCGAATCAAGTAGAGTCCGTGTTCGATCTGCGAGCTCGGTTCGGGGTCATCCGGGGTTCGGATGATCCTTTCAATCGTGTCCAGCAGGACAAGATTCGTCAACTGATCCGTCGACAAGAGTGTCCCTAGTAAGGTGCGGCCGTCGACAGTGAGAATGAGGACTTTTTCTAAGCATTGCAATAATTGGGTTAGCCACCTTACTGTGATACATACTTCGCATAGTTCCGTTGTCGCATAGAGGAAGGCGACTTACTATTGATGTAGGAGTGCAGAGACATGATGGCGAGCTGCGAGGCCGCTCAATGACGGGCTAAGATGGTTCAAGTACAAAAAGTTCCGAGTCGTCCGCGGAGTGGGCTGCTACCTCGGTGCTCCTCGAAATTTGATAGACAGCCAAGTCCTATCTCAAGAGTAAAAGTCGACAGTAGCTAGATTCGGAATTGAAAGCTTCCTCGTCTACCTTAATAGCAGAGTGATCTGGACAAGTCGGATGAGCTTGGATGATCGGACGTGACCCGTTCAAGTTCAATCTATCGCTGACAACTCGAATGATGGAATTGCTCTCGCAGAATAGATTTGCAAGGGAAAAATCGTCCGTGGTTAGTTCTGAACGAGCACAACAACCGATTCCGCCTTTCGCATTGAGATCCGATGCTTAATGTATCACCGCTCCGCGACGGTATCTAGTCACGTGCGTGGAGCTTGGCCTAGCTTCGGAAATCTATATCTCAAACACAAGTCTACTAAAGCGGGAGATTCAAAGTGACTACGAATTGAATGAGTATAATGTACTGAGAAACGCCTGCAGGAAGATATTTCATAAAAATCTATCCGACTGGGATATCATGTACACGAACTAACGGCTAGGGTGCATATTGACCGCGGATCATCGGTATCTCTCATACGCTCAGAAGCAGCGCAGTAACACAGTGCATCCATTTATTTCTCGAAAACAATATCAGCCAGCCGTCCAATTAGCTGCTCAGCGCACTCAAGTCTAATGGTACACTGCTACCTCGCCCAGCACGGTACCGCCGGGGACCTCCCACAAACGGCCGTGGCTTGGGAAGCAGCCCGTCACTCTGAAATTTGAACCGATTGTCTTCCACGCGAATTATTCTGTGCGAGCCCGTGTTCTGATGGCCCGGCGACGAGCCGCCATTGGTTAGGGTATAAGCACTCGGATCCATGGTCGAACGGGTCACAGGCTGGCTAGGCGGCGGTGTTGGGGTTTGTGCTGGAGGAGGCGGCGGATGACTGGGTGGTACTGCTGGTGCCGTTGGAGGCGCCGATGGCGGGGGTGGTGGTGGAGGTGCTGATGGGGCAGACGCTGCAGGAGGAGGTGGAGGAGGTGCGGACGGCGCATGGTTACTGTGCCCGAGAGCGTTCCTGGCAGCTTGCACCGCGATAGAAGCTGCTGCTACCCCATTTGTATGAGGTGATGAAGCTGCCGCTGCCGGAGGTGGGGGAGGAGGGGTCGATCGTGCAGGTGCGGGAGGAGGCGGTCGGGGTGCTGAAGACGCCGGCGGAGGAGGTGGTGCAGCTGGACTCGAAGGGGCAGGGGGTGGAGGTGGAGGTGGAGGAGCTGGCGAGGACGGCTTCCTCGACGTCAACGGAGGAGGTGGCAGTTTCGCCGAACCAGGCAAAGGAGGAGGTGCGCGTGGAGGTGGAGCATCCGGGGCAGTTTTGATTGATGTAGAGGATGAGACGGTTGAGGAAGGCCTTGAGGCTGGTCTCGGCGGAGGTTTGCGCAGATTAGCAACTAGCGGGTTGAGCGGAGGGGCAGACGGCGATTCTGTAGAAGACGGGGGCGGTGGTGGAGGACGAGCACCTGGAGGCTTTGGAGCAGAAGCGACAGGAGGTCGTGGAGGTCGCGAAGCCTCCGAGTCTGACATGTAAGGCGAGTCACGGTTGGCTCCTGTGTCAACCCCGCCCCGACTACGCAATTTGGGCATCCCTCCTGCGAAAAGTCCTGCCAGTTGAGGAGCAGTGGATGTACCGCTATCTCCACCACCGCCGCTTTCGCTACTGCTTCGTACTCGGTTGGCTGAAGGAACAGGAGGTGCCAGGCCACTCGGTTTCGGCATGCCAGGAACAGGAGGTGCACCTGCAACTGGAGGTGCAGCTGATTTAACTCCTCCCGCAATCAGGGGCGCCGATCTGTCATTTGTGACGGTCTTCTTCAGTCTAGTGCCTTTGGTGATATCCGAAAGAAGAGCGCTCTAGCAGGACATTAGCAGCGGAACTTGGGAAGACAAGGAACGGGTTTCCAACTGACCCTATCTTTAGCTTCACCTTTCGCTGGCCGACTTGGAAGACTCCCAGACGGAGGAGGGGGAGGGGGAGGTCCGCCCATACCCCCTGGTGGAGGAGGGGGAGGAGGAGGGCCTCCCATCCCTCCAGGCGGCGGCGGAGGTGGTGGTGGAGGAGGAGGCATCTTGGTGCGAGGAGCAGTAATGGAAAGGATAATGACAATCCAGTCTGTGTTGTGATGTGTAGAAATGAAATGAAAGGAGGAAGGGTTCAATCCCCCGTAAGACTAAAGATCATCTGACGATCGTCAATCTTCGGCGGATGGCAGCCTTTGGAGGAAGTCAGTACGTCAGGCAGCTGAGTTAGTGAAGGACGGAGATGAGGTAGTGGCGGTGCTACTCCAGTGTGCTGACCATCTCCGCTTTTTCATGGTCAGGTCTACCAAGTCCGTCAAAAAGACAGAGCAGACTCACTCTCGACCCCGCGAAATCTCCCACTTCCGCCATGAAGGGCTTGAACCTTAGCGGCCAGAAGACTTCTAGGTCTCAAGCTCTGGTCTGTCAATTCTGTCAACTCCCTACCAGGCCAATTGCCCGTCAGGCGCCGTTTGCGCGATACTATTCATTCTCGACGACATCCGCTTCCCGCGCCCAATCAAGACAATTGCGGCCAAAGAAGGATTCAAGAAGTCCATGGATCACTAACAGGCTTACACCTAGCCGATTGGCATCGAATTCCTCGAACACACCTTCCTCCTTTGACCCAGAGACATCCTTGCGACAAGTCTCCCATGAGTCTTCCGAACTTCTCAAGCTCGACTCCGTACCCTCCAACGAGTCAATTGTGAGGATTCTACAGAAATGTGAACAAATAGCAGAGGCTCTGGTGAGTCGTGAACAAGACAAAGTCGAGAAGTCTCCTTCTGCTGGGGAAGAGGGAAGTGCAATCTCCTCGTTACTGGATCTGGAGGAAAAGAACGCATCAAAGAAACACTTCAAATCAATCCGCGACGCGCAACCCCGCCTAGCCGAGTCGCTGTCGCAGATCGCTACAGGGCTTCTCAAGGACGAAAAAGTCTTTATTTCGCCAGAAGCGATGGCATGCTATACCAAGATTCAGACCCTTTTGAAGAAGGCCGACCATTTTCCTGAGATGTTCTACCTGTACGCCCACAAGCCAGTTCCCGAGGAGAACAGTTCCCCTGTCAAATACCACAAGGCAAATCCCAAGAGCGTCAACAGCGCCATTCCCACCGAACTTGCGAACATGGCCCTGGACATCGCCATCGAACAGCGAAACCTCCCACTCGTCCTGGCCATCATCGATAACACCTTTTGCGCCCCAGCATTCCACCGTGCAAAGCTCTTCAAGAAAGCTGCTGTGCCACTAGGTGGTCTTGCAGCCACGCCAGCCGCGTGTTACGCCATCGCTTCCTGGGCTTCTAGCTTGCAAAACACCATGGATCCCAGCACAGCGACTGGCATTGCCTTCGCAGCCACCCTCGCCTATGTCGGAGGCACATCGTCGATCGGCCTTTTGGCTATCACATCGGCTAACGACCAGATGGAAAGGGTTGTTTGGCAGCCTGGAGTTCCCTTACGACATCGTTGGCTGCGAGAGGAGGAGCGCGCCGCACTGGATAGGGTTGCCGTCGCTTGGGGATTCAAGGATATCTACATGAGGGGCGAGGAGGAGGGAGAAGAGTGGGACAGCCTGCGTGAGTTTATCGGTATGAGAGGGATGATCCTTGACAAGACGGACCTTATGCCCGGGATGCAGTAATTATTTCCCCTACTTTATCCCACTTGTATATTACCTTTATGGACGGTACTGTTTATGTACTTTATGCAGCAGGCGTATATCCTAGAATAGATGAAGTTTGGAACATGTGCAATATCGCAGCACACTCTACGGAAATCCAAAAAAAAGGTTTAGGTACCAGTTGTGGACATCACATTTCCTATCTATGGCATATACAATCCCACACTTGAGCGCCTAAAAAAACCCCTGTCACAAAGCTAATTGCGCAGAGAATCTAGTAGAGACGCTTGGGGGGAGACATGGTAGCCTTGAGGACAAGGCTGCCAACGTTCTGCCAGCCCTTCTTCAGCAGGGAGACGAGGTAGTTGATGGCCAGCATGACGTTGGCGACGAGCTCATCCTGGGTCATGCCGACGTTGCCAACGGCAACACCGAGGCAGAGAACCTTCTTAAGCTGGAACTTGATGGTAGACTTGATCTCGGTGACCTTGTTGGCCATATCCTCGTTGTGAGAGACGGGGGTAGGGAATTTACCAGCTGCGTCGAGTTAGCATTTGCTAGAGGCTACGCCACGCGCCGTGCGTGCTGCGGGAACCGAAAATACATACCCTTGGACAGACCGGGACCCAGGAGACGAGGAATCTGCTTGATGAGGGTGTCGGAAGCAAGGAAGGCATCGTACTTGCGAGCAAGCTTCTTGATGAGCTTCTTGTTCTTATTGAGCTTCTTCAGGTCATCAGCGGACATGGCATCGATGCCGTGGTGCTTGGCACGGTCGAGATCGTGCTGGTCACCAAGAACACTGCAGACATCACCGTCAGTAATCTTATTCCCATAACTCATGTGCTACCTCATCCTTCTCCCGATGATGCGCATAAGACATTTCACCGAAGGATCGGTCGGTCGGCAAAGTGGACGTACCAGATGGTCATGTTGGGGCGGGGAACGGTGGGCAGCTTGATGGTGCCAGAGAAACGCTTGTCACGCTGGGGGTCGTAGTTCTTCAGACCGATCTGAAGCTCGACGGTCTCGAGGAAGTTTCTCTTCTTCTCATTCTGAGAGTAGTTGAGCAGCTGCTCGATATTCTCGCGCACTCCGGCTGTAACAAGGAGACATATTAGTTGCTGCTTCCCAAAAGTCGCAAGTTAAGTTTTGATGCATACCGACTGTGATCTTAGACATCTTGCTGACAGTCTTCCAAAAGAATAACTCTTATGGTGTGGCTCTGCGCTGAATATCGGTGCAAGGACGAGAGAAAAAGACTTCGGCTCGCTGTCTGCCGTGAGAAAATCCCGTTCTCCGCTTGTGAGTGTGGATGGCACTAGCCTTATTGGGGCCTAGGTTTGCCCTAACGAGATTTATCAATTACTAAGCTGTGAATATGCTTATGCGCATAAACAACTACCTATGGTTTATTGTCTATCGGACTCTATCCGCATCGATTAGCTCAGTGGCGCTTATACTGATCATACTTCATTTGACAACAGTCTACCACTTTTGGAGTTCTACTCGAACATGCAAGGAATCGATGGCGTCTTAATAAATTCTAGAGGACTGTGATCGCCCAGGATGGTCAACCAGCCTCTGAACAGGCGAGCCGTTCGGCTGGCCGCTTCTTGCACGGAATGTCAACGTCGGAAGCAAAAGGCAAGCAAAACCGAGGCCATAATCTTGGAATGTATCCTTGACATTCTCTGACTTATCATATAGTGCAGTCGTGAATGGCCCTGTAATCATTGTCAGGCAAGAAGAATTGCCCACCTATGTAAATTTGAGCCGAAGAAAGTGTTGAAAGCGAGTAAAGCAACTGTCAATGATTCGAGGTTCGCTATGGACGTTATGATTTCGTCCATCCTTAGCTAAAAATTGTTAGACGAGACGATCCTGTCCGCGCTATTAGCGTTGACAAAGGGCAAATTACCTCCCCCATGGCTGGGGCCGCTGTCGAGGAGAGTCAAGAGGACTTCAAGGTGTTGGGGTACCTCCCTGAGGTTCAATCCGGAGAGCATGTGAGCGGAGTATGCTTTTTCGACGAAAATATCCCTAGGATTCAACCGTGGGCTAAGTCCTCGACAGGATTCTGCTGCAATTTCAAAGAAGCCACGAAGAGCATATTCTCTAGAGATGGAGAATGCGTTACGTGTAATCCCTCCAAAGCCATATACAGGTATGTGCGCAGATATCTGCGGTTGAAAATGAGCTCATATGACTCTAGATGTCTTGGTACAACACTATATCCGTGAAACGAACTCGCAGTACTATTGCCTCTATCCACCCAAGTTTCTAAGTGATTACTCGGCATGGTGGTCCGGTAAAACCAGCGGTCAGCCGTTGACTGCAGAGTTTACGTGTCTATTGATACGGACATGCGCATGTGCAACATTATTCCTCGACCCTGGAGTAAAGCAGAAGCTCGAAATGGAATTGGGGGAAAGCGTTGGGAGCCTTTCTGAGCGATACCATCATGCGGCCAAACAACTAAGCAGCACTATTCCCCCAGGGAAAGGGGGGCTAACACAAGTTCAACAACTATTTCTCACGGCATCCTGGTATAAGGCCGAAGCCCTGTTTGTTGAATCATGGCATGCCTTGAGCTCCGCTATCCACGAGGCTCAAGAGTTGGGTAAGTTTGAGTCCTAGTCGTTTCGTCAAAAAGGCACTAATTGCGAACATTATCATCGAATAGGCATGCATAAGTGCATTTCTAAGGTAGGACTTCCAGAATTTGACAGGGAAATGAGGCGACGTCTGTGGTGTATCCTGTATAGTTGGGACTGGTAGGTTCCTACACATCTGTTTAGGCTTCGAGGCTCACTTGTGAAGGCAAATGTCCCTCATGCTATCGCGCCCTTTTATTATTAACAGCACTTACTGCTCCTTTGAAATGCCCAATGTGAGGTTGGAAAGCGACCATATTGAAGCAGGCGTGCCCTCGCCTATAGTCCACATCGCGCTCCAATGCCAACTCGGTCAGGCCTTGTCCAAAATACCAGGGGTGATGGGCGGAACAATGACTCCCGCAATCGCCGTCACTGTTCAACAAGAGACCGAGAAATGGCTTGCTTCATTTCCGCCTGCTTATAGGCTTGTCAATCCTGACATGCAATGGGACCATGATTACAAGTACGTGGAGGTGCAACGCAAACAGCTGCATACTATTGCCTATATGGTCATGCTTATGCCATTGAAACAATGTCTCACAAAAGACGTACATCAAGACTCCTCCTCTATCGAGAAGAGCCTCCAGCCCACTGCCATTGACATTGCACTGAAATTGATCAAGGCGGCTCACCAGCTCCTTGATTGCATGTTACCCCTAAACGCCAAGTTTCATTTTGCCCCGTTCACGATGTTTGACACGGCCGCCAGCCTATGTTCAGCCATCATCCACGACCAGGGACGATGCCTTCCTCAGCGAGACGAGGTTATTGAAGCAATCAGCGCGACGCTGGGCACACTAGAACAGATCAGCCACAGCACGAAAACCGCCGCAATATGCTACTCAGTGCTCTCAAAACTTGTGAACAAGCTCTCCTTAGCGTCAGAGGAGGAATTGATCCTTCGCTCCAAGTCATCCGACAGCCCACTTAGAGGGGTCAAGGCGCCCTCTGACTTTCAGTTAACTCTGGATGCGGTCCCCACCATCGACTTTGGCATTAATGACAATCTGCAGCCCTTAGACGAACACAGTTCTGAGATGTATGTTTCCACAATGCCAGGTTATTCCTCCCTGGAGCCGCTGGCACCTCCGTCCTCCGACCTTCAGGAGCTTTTCAACGTGGACCTTGGCGAATTAGGCCAGATCTGGGATTTGGAGAACCTCGGACTTGATTTTCCACAGGCCTTAACTGATTAGATTATACGGCATTGCCAGCTCGTAAGCTGGCTTGTACCTGGCAGGAACCGGGCACCATACCAGCTGGCTCCGCCTGCTATTGAGAGAGCGTATGGTCACCATCAAAGTTGTCTACATAGATTGCACACCATTGCTGCTGGATATCGCAATGAGACAACAGTCGACATGTTTGACTGTCACATCATGAATATGAAATCCTGCAATATAAACATAAAGTGACGTCGAACGAGGTCATCTTGTGTTTTGGTCCCTGTGGGAGTTTAGGGCGTCCTGACCTGTTTGGTGCTTCCCTGTTTGCAGCATCAGAGCGCTGCCTCTCTGCTAAATATGCTCCAAGGTAGCATGTAGCGACTCTGATTTTTGACTTTGGTCATAATATAGCTGCATATTTGAAGCCATATATATACGGTGATCACATGACACACTGACACCACTTTCAAGAGCATACCCAAATTAAATACAGGTCAACACCTTGACCGTATCAGAAAATGAAACATTAGTACACATACATTACATCACTGTATCCATGTTTAAGTTACACTCCGATAATCTTAAGAAAAGTGATCAGCAGCAGCATGAACATGTCATAGTTGGGAGCATCCCCTGTGGAAACCAACAAGTCAGCTGCACACAAGAACAGCAAAAGCAAGTAATTCTAATAACCGATTCGTGCATTCTGTAACACATCGATTCGCGGGGATGTCAGGGTCAGTCGACAGCCACACGAGGGTTACTATCAGCAGGGTTATATTAGGCGCTGGCTGGGCGCTTAACCTGGACCTGATATATAATATGGGATGCCTCTTGCACTTGACTTGTGTGTTTCTTGCTCAGTTCGCTCATTTCGTGCTTCGTCCAGTGCGGAGATTATTTGATACTTAGGATCAGAGCTACAGAGGCAACTGGAAACAGCATGTCCAGCTCATCAGCGAGTAGCGACCAAAGCCCTTACGAGTACTACGCGAGCTTTACAGATCGGCCAACCCTTCAGGGTAAATTTCGCGATATTGATGAGGAGTCTTGTTTTTATGCGTATAATAAGCGATTACGAGATGCACAGACGCAGAATTTCGTGCTGGATTTTGGGAATGATGATGCCTGGTGTGCGATGAATCTGAGACAGGAGGATTTCGGCCTGTTGCTGCGGAAGCCAGTAAGTCGCATTCGCATCCGTATAACCATGGACAAGTGTTGATGTGTGAGCTTCAGAAACCAAATTGTTTCGGGACTAGGTGGATGTGAGTTACTATCCGTCGCGCAGATATTGATACTGACGACGTCTGGTCGAAGTAATATTTGGGCCCCGGAAGAACAGAAGGATGTGATCAAGGTTCGTCAGAAATGACATACAAGAGTACAGCACACTGATGGTCTAGGAAATTACGAGCTACTACGGCGTTTCAGAGAGGCTACAGGGGATGATGTGCACTGACCCCGTAGCAGCCCGGCCAGAAGCTCCAGCACCCGTGCAGTCTCTGAGGGCTAGCTTCCACAGAAGCATTGATCGATCGCATCGTCCTCGCATGGAAGATCTTGAGGAGGCCGTCTCGTTGAAGAACTTATCAGATCCCGACGACATCCAAAAGGCAGCTTCATTCCGAGGCCTTACGTTTGCCCATGTCACAAACCAGATCTGGCACTTTTGTTCGGTGGATCACGGGCCCCGATGTAAACTCTGACACTCTCATCATCATTTGCGAACGCTGACTGGATCCAGACACTTGTGTTGGGTATAACTCGTTATACGTGATTCCAAACGTTGGTATATCAAACGGGAGAGACCTGCCTAATGGGAAGAGACTATGGTCCTGGTTGATCCTTTGTGACGATGGTGCGGACGACCTAGCACAATTGTGGCCACAGTTGCTGACGAACCCAGGGACTGTCATATCAATCCAAGAGAACCCGTATCCCCGAATATCAGAGCCAAGACCAGAATCAGAAGTCAAGTCGGTCCTGGGAGTCGTGCGCAGAAACGTGCAGATAATATTTTCAGGTGCTTCCAAGCAGCACTCTGCTTCATCCGAAAGTGACTCATTGGTCACCATTCGAGTGCGAGCGTCTAATGACTCTCGTTCGGATCACGTCAGTATACATCAGGACGATGGCCCTGGCCTGCTTTTTTACTACATCTTCGATGACTGGGTGACGAGTTATGCTCTAATTGCAAAGCGTGAGCATAAGTATGGAATCTTGCTGGATCGACTGGTAAGAATCGCTTTTTGCAGAAGGGTAGATCGTGCTCAGATACTGATCGAGGAGAACAGAGAGGGGATATGTTAAACAAACCGGTCGTCGATTTGGTAAATGAATTACATTGGTTGGGTAGAAGACTGGCAGTCCTACGGCGCCTATACCAGAGCTACGAGCTCATTCTGACGCGCGTGCTTCAGAGACAGCGCTTGCTGCGCGATGAGGCACGCTCAAGACACCCAAGAATGCCACCTGGGCACATCATTCAGAGTGAATCAGAATTGTCGAGCAATTGCGAAAACTCTGTAGGCGTGCGATTGAACTCCGCAGCCATTGCTCGCTTCGAAAGACTGCTTGATCGGATAAAACTGTATTGCTTAACTGAGATTGACGCCTGTTTGACAGAGAAAGAGTCCCTTACCTTCCTGGTCAGCGAGCACCGCTTCTCCTTCAAATGTACTGATTTGTTGACGAGTTAGTGCAGAATTTCAACTTGATCGCCTTGAAAGATTCACAGGCTGTCGAGAAGCTGACGAGAATCACCATTCTGCTGGCGAAAATCACAATTCTTTTCTTGCCAGTCAGTTTGATGACGGCGTACTTCTCGACCGAACTCAGAGGCGTCAAAGGAGTGTATACGCAGACCGAATATTGGATCAGCTTCGCAGTCATCATGGTCCTGTCATTGCTGGTCCTTGTTCTCTTTGGTTACGCCAGCGGCACCATCGAGGGCAGACCGATCTATCAATCATTGTCGCGAACATTCATCTCCTCATCCAAGGACAAACTCGGGCATCAACGAAAACATGTCGACTAGATTTCATGCACAAGGCATGCAAAGTCGACTTGAATCTGAGAAATGGTGCTCGTAATTTTCGAAGTCAGATACAGCCAGATCTACCTGCATCCACGGCTTCTTCTGATTATGACGCGTAGATAGAGTGGCCCCTGTGGGTTTTCGTTACCACTGAGGTCTGGGTATCTGGAGCCAACCACCAACCTGGAATTGCGGCGATGAGATAATAATGTGCACTAATAACACGTTACCTACTTTTAGAGACACGAGACAGGGCACATTTGCGAATTGCGATAGATACCTAGGCCCAGTGCCACCCGAAGCGATCCACTGGGACGGGGCTGATTCAAGAGCCAACCCGGGAACCTATCAGAAAGGGACCAGACCCAGAATGTCCGGACATTGTGCCTTTGTATTTTGGGGCCTGGAAGTGTGCAGCAAAGGGGGAAAGGATGGCTTGACTACGAGCAAGAATAGGCATCAATGAAGTGAATCTTGAGCAAGCAGCTCATTTGATTGTCAGCATCCAAGTTATCATCAGGCAGTGATAGTCGGTATATGATCGCTCTCAGTATCATCACTGCCCTGAAAAGCGCCGGTCTTAGTGCGCCAATAGACGGGAAACACCGTGTCCTCTTCATGTGGCCAGGCAGAGAAGATTCAAGAAGCGTAGTATAAGGGGAAAAGTAGCGGACAAGAACGTCCAGTCTTGTTCTCGTAGAGAGAGTCATTATAATTGTTCAAGAGGAAAATCAAATGAAATTTGACTCCATCCAGAGTCAATAACAAATAGAAAGGTACTCTGTACTGAGTGTTGTGATTCTGGTGGTTTCGTTAGTGACGGAAGCTACGCCGGCGGCTGAATTTCTCGACCTGGCATTTTTGCACCCAGAAATTCCAACACCGACAAAACAAGACCGGCTCAGACACAAGACACAGGCACAGACACAGACTGAGAGAGAAGCGTGGTCTGTCTGTCTGCTCCTCCATCTCTATCTATCTATCATCATCACCATCATCACCCTTACCCTCGTGTATCCACGTTTTGTTTTTCCTTCTCCAGCTTCTTCTGTGTTGGTAAGTCTGCCCTTGTTAGATTCTCTTTTTATTTTCTCTTCGACTTACTTCCCTTCTTTTCGCCCCTCTTCCCTCTCTCCCTTTCCCTCTCTCTCCCCTGAACTCTACCAACTCACCGTTATTCCCCGGTGTGAATACGCCCCTCGTTCTCAAGTCACCCCATACCAAGGCCCCGTGTCTTTTTGCATCTGGGTCTTCAACTCCCTTGTCTCTACCTATTCTGTCATACTCTCTGTTATAAATCAATCAGACCGAAAACTTTCGATTGACTGACCTCACTGTCGCGCTCCCCTTAGACTCGTTTACGCCACCGCCAACATGGGTCTCACCTTCTCGAAGCTGTTCGATAGACTATGGGGTCGAAAGGAGATGCGAATCCTGATGGTTGGTCTTGACGCCGCCGGAAAGACCACCATCCTGTATAAGCTGAAGCTGGGTGAAATCGTCACCACTATTCCCACGATTGGTCAGTCGTCCACTCCCGCTGGTTCGGGTCGTCCGTCGGTCAATCACGCCGGTTCGCGCGTGCGAGAGGGAAGCTGTTGCTGACATTGGTTTATTTGTCAAGGTTTCAACGTCGAGACCGTCGAGTATAAGAACATTCAGTTCACCGTGTGGGACGTCGGTGGTCAGGACAAGATCCGTCCTCTCTGGAGACACTACTTCCAGAACACCCAGGGTATCATTTTCGTCGTCGATAGCAACGATCGCGACCGTATTGTCGAGGCCCGGGAAGAGTTGCAGCGCATGTTGAACGAAGACGAACTCCGTGACGCTCTGCTCCTTGTTTTCGCCAACAAGCAAGATCTGCCTGTATGAGATCCCTGTGCGCGTGTGTATCGGTGTGATACTGATTTGAACTTTTAGAACGCCATGAGCCCCGCCGAGATCACCCAGCAGCTTGGTCTGCAAAGTCTCACCCGTCGTGCTTGGGTAAGTTGGCTTGACTGCCAATGCAGGTCCTTCACAATCCACTAATTTATATTTAGTACATCCAATCTACCTGCGCCACCACCGGTGACGGTCTGTACGAAGGTCTGGAATGGCTCGCCGATGCGCTGAGGAAATCGAACAACTCTTAGAATGTTATAATACGACGAGAGGAAGAAAACCCGAAACTGTGACGAGGAGTTGCGCGGATGATGGTTGGGGGACCAGGGCCGGCAAAGACACCTTGCATACAAAAGGGATTTGCTTCTTGATGGTACTTGTATGTTCTCTAACGGCTCTTCATTCCTCTATGCTATTAGCTTTTATTTCTTCTTTCGTCCCGGCGTCGATTCCAACAAATACTCCTTTGTGCCTTTGAAAAACCATTTTTCATCTGTTGTTCATGTCCTCGAGAGTTAAGGCTGGCTCGACGTTTATGATCCATCCAGAATGGTTATGTTTCACTAAACATATTGATAGGTGTCTGAAGTAGATGAAATGAATTTGATGCACTTGAAGACTGGAATTTCCGTCCATAAGCCCTCCACTGATGATGACAGTATATGGTCTTTTGTCTTTGTACAACTAGGGCACTCCTGATGTTATGAACACAATGGCCACGCAGTCTTTGCTGAACCTTCTAGTCTCCTCATTTCAGCTCCGTCCCACCAACCCACCACACAGCCGCCCGAATAATGTCCATGACAACTTCCAACTCCCTCTCATCCCTCGGCGCATAAATCATCACAAATCCCGGCGGCACACTCTTCGCCCACCACCACCAACACCACTCCTCCCCGCCGTCATCCCACGCAAGCGGATGCCGCTCCCCCCACCCCTTCTCCAGCACAGCCCTTACATCCGCCGGATGCAGCGTGAGATGCAAGCTCCCGTCAACCGGATGCGAGTGGCACACTTCGCCGTCGCAGGTGTGCCGTTGCGCCTGCGCCTGCGCCTGCGCGGCCAAACAGAAGATCCCCGTGCTGTGTTTCTCGAAGCAGGAGGTCGCGGCGCGGAGGGCGGAAGGGTGCGCGTTGACCAGCTCGTGGATCCGGTTCGACAGCGTCGCGTACATTGTTTTGCTGGCGCGCTGGGTCGTCTGTCTGTGGGGTGCTATCCCTGCGACGGTTGGGCGGGGCCCTGCCCGGATGGGGAGGGAGGAGGGGAGCTGCCCGTGCTTGGGGTGGAGGGATGGCGGGGTGGAGGGGGGCGAGAGGGGATCGCGGACGGTGAAGAGGCGGAGGATGCAGATGCGAGCGTAGCCGGTTGGTGTTGAGGGCGTGCCGCCTGGTCCGAGGGCGAGGAAGGCGTGGTAGTCTTTGCGGATGTAATGGGCTGCTAGGAGGAGGGAGGGGAGGCAGGTGAGGAGGAGGAGGAGGATAGGGAGGGGAGAGTTGGTGGTGGCGAGGAGGAAGGGTAGCTGTCTCGTCTCCGGGGAGAAGTTGAGTGCCTGCATTGAAAATGTTTAGTTCAGGTTCTTGTGGTCTGACTGGGCTGGGTTGAAGTTATTCAGACACACCATGTTGATAGTATCTCCTCCGCATGGGTCTATGTCGGCTCTTTGGGTGGTGTAGAAGCCATGGTACACGACATACTAAACCATTTATACTTTACAAGAATTGACTTAGACGCAATATTATCAATTGATCTCCTGGAAAGTCAGGATCTAGGTTGTAGGAGTTTTGTAGCGGCATTTTGACTTCATGATAGACAAATCATCACCATTGCATCATCCGCTGTCGACGAGTTTAAGCCACTCTTAGACCTTTGCATTAGGTTTCACGCCTTGGAAATGCTCTGTAGTCAACTTCCGGTAATGTACACTTTCCTGATTCTATGTGACATGGAATTATATCCATTGACAGGTTGACAACTTCGCAATCTTGAATAGTGGAGGTATCCAGTAATTGTTGGTTGCCGATGCCGCAACATCAGCTGGTCAGTTACTTCGACAGTCGAACACGTAGCTCACCTAATTATCTGCGAACACAGTTCATTCGAAGGTTAGTATTGAGCTTAAGAGCTGTAGCCCAATCCCCATGACTGGTTTAACGAATCTCTAAGTTGACACGCGGAAAGGATCAGCTCGCTTTTTTAACCCCTCGCTATCATCACTGTTCGTAACACTTCTCAACTAGAGCTTGCCTTTTCTTAATCAGAAGACTTGTCCGAATTCAATGTTATTCTTCGATTGGGTCGAAGGTAAAAGAGTCCCTTCATGCGGAGTGCTAGAGTTTCTAGGCGTTCTCGTCTTATAAACAGACTTAGGCAGAGAATCCTATTAGGTGCCGTACGGACTTGCTTCTGCAGAAAATTTTAAGCATTCAAGTATACTGTTGAGACTTGGAGCAGTATCAACTCGGCCAAAGAGACCTCAATTAGGAAACGAACCCGTCCGATAATCCGATCGACGTCCCTGCAAATGCTTAACCCAGGATGGATAACTGCAGATAGCCTCTGAAATCTTCTGTCGCGGCGGGAATGATATAGAGACAGAAGGGAACTTTCTAAGATGCCCGGGTGTAGTAAGACAGAAGTCGCCTGCGTTCACTGCTCTTCAGCCTTACTTGTCTTGAAACCACGCCATCAGTATACCGTTTCAAATGCTTGCAGACGCGCATTGCGTTTTGCACTTTCCGCTTCCTGATGGGCAGCATCTTTTGACCCTGTTCCTGCAGATGAGTGAACATTTACGGATCTTGGCTGGAATGTCAGTCGTGAGGAAACATATCAGAAAATACCCGATTTATGCCAGTGAGGAAGTCGATTGGTGAAGATCTGGATCTCTTCCTGGAGATATGTCTGCTTCTAACTAAGGTGGAACACTGAACACTGGACAATGAAGTTGGTCAGGACATTGACTCAAAGGGCCGATGTTTTCAAACTATGGCAGATGTCCTGGAGTGAACTCAGATCGTAGCCTCACAACCTCACAACCTCGTCGAATATCACGACTTATGGCCCCCAACGCAGGTGAAGTCAGCTTTCGGGATGCATACTTTTTGCCTCCGGCGCTTAATACACATGACTGGCGGATAAATGCAACGTTCAGCGCATTCCGGATATCATGTACTCCGTAGAGGACAGTAGTGGGTATTTCTTAATTATTCAGGTTCCTGTAGATGTTTCGGGTTGCAAAGGGGTTTTCCATCAGTTGGAAGGGGCTTTGAATTGCTTCGACTTCGAATTTCGTGTGACGTAAGGGCTTCTTCGGATATAAGAATGCCATCACTTGAGCCGTAGAAATGGAAGTTCCTTGGTATTTCCTATCCTGTACATTCCAATAAGGAATGCTTCCTTCTCCCAGTGGTTGTCTGTTAGTGTGTGATTGTCTCACTCAACGTTGTAGTCAGTCTGCCAGGAAAGACGGCTCAGTAAATCCACTGTACTCCGTAATGCTGTTGAAGATCCTCTGAGCATAATGATCTCACGAACATGTTTCTCTTCAGTTTCAAAACAACAGGCTGCAGCCGCAGATCGATAGTCATACATAAATAGGGACAATGTCTGAGATCGACACTCCTGTGCCTGGCGATGAAACGGCTCCCGTGTTTAGCTCCATGACTAAGTCGCTGTCCCGCCCCTCTCTCTCCATCCTGCCAAGCCCAATCCGGTGGCCCAACTCCCCCTGACAGCAGAGAACAGCCAGCAGCCAACCTCTCCTCCATCCCCATCCTATCCGTCCATTCATCCATCAATTCATCTTCTTTTTACCATCTTCTCCTTCGTTCTCCCCATCTCTTGATCCCTGTTCTCATTGCTTTCTTCCTCCATTTGCCGCTGTTTCTTCTCTCCCCTCTTATCCTTCACACTCTTCATCGTCTCCCGTAACAGATCGCTGGTCGATCTCCGTGTGCTCTTTCCTCAGAATTCCGCTTTAGGACAGAGAACGCCCTTCATGTTGTCGTCAGCGCCACAGCAAATATCGAGATCAAACTACCAGTGCCTCCGGGCCAAATAGATACTTAAACCCTTTTTTATACCAGTGCATTCGCCGGGCTCGTCTACATCAAGCGTTGCTACTCTCATCCGGATCTTAGGCATCATCACAGCTGACTGCCATGTGGCTGTACAGAGGGGCTCAATCGGCCGTCTTTTACTATGCCAGCTGTACGCCCTGTGCTATGTCCTTTGACCGTCGCAAGCGAAAGAAGGAAGCCGTTCGATCACAACGAGAGAAGGAGAAGGTTGACGCCGTCATCACCGACCAGCCAAAACCGTTTGCTCAGCCAACACCGTTCAGTACCAACCCAGGATGGGCGGAAGAGATTGCTCTAGGTCCGGGCCCTCCTGCAAGAAGAGGAGGTCATCGGAACAATCATCGACGGACCGACAGTTGGACTACTGATCCATTGTCACCAATGGAGTCCAGCCCCGACGTGGGGGAGGCATCACTGAGAAAGGATAAGAGCAGTCTTAAGCATCCGCTTGGCGACCGGTGGAACCGTATGCGTTATCAGCGCGAGGATGAACCTCTGTGGGGGGAGGAAGTGGAGGTGAAGGGCTCCTCGGTTGGAATCTCCGGCCGGGGCAAAGCGAACACCACCGAACCCAGCAAGTACTACGTCGCCCGCGTACCCCCGGTCAACGATCTTCATCCACCGATCGTAAGCGGACCCAAGAGCCGGGCGGAAACAAGATGGATGTTGCAACCGCCTCCCAGTGCCAGAGTCATGGCCGGAAAGGAACCATTTAGCGCTTCAACCCGCAAGAATGACTGCGGGGCACTACCCAAAGACAATCATCTTAGCAATGCAGGACCGACAGTTGCTCAGCGGAATAGACAGCTGCCGCCCTTGGCTACTCAAAGTACGGATCAAAGATCGTCGACCAAATCCACGCCTCTTCTGGCTTCGCCCTACGAACACTCCGCCCAGAAAGCACCAAAGCCCGAAAGCAACAGTCAGCGTGAGCTTCCTCGGCAGCTGTCGTCGACTATGCTGCCATACGGACGTGACAAGAGCACGTTTGTCATCTCAGTACCTAGACATTCACGTTGCGATTCACCCTCTACCATATCTTCTCCAGACTGCTCGGACGCGGAGACTCCCAGTATCTCATGGCAGTATCCTGAAACCCCGACGTCACGGCCAGTATCAAAACCAACCGACGACAATACTAAACATGCCCGTCCGAAAGTATCAACGACACTATCCACGTTCCACCAGGACCACAAACAGATTCAACTATACCATTTGGATATCAACGAGGATGCAATTGAAGAAATTGGCCTGGGCCAGTTTGAACCTATTCGACCTTGGCGTTGGAGCATGGACATTTGATGGTAGAAACCCAGTGGGCCACGCTTTCAACCTCGCGTTTGTTACTTAACCCTTTTGGCCTCGCACACGTTTCTGGATGCATTCAATTGGTTTCTCTATCTTGGCGTTGGAAGCACAAACTTTTCCTATTTATTATCCTACGGAGCAGGAAGAAAGGCCTACCACTGTTCCCGAGTATCTCCATGGCAGGTCCATGGCAAGCATCCTGCGCAATCCTCAGCCTTTGGACTCTCGTCTGTGTCATCATCCCATTTGCTAACTCTTCCCGCATTCCTGCATTCGAGTCATTCTCATTGTCAGCGCAGGATGACCATTCTCTAGCCGTTTCCTTGACCTGTCCCGTCCTATTCTTACCCGAGGTTTTCCTTTTGAGCTGTTCGACTTTCTTCGTGTATAATAGCTTCCCTAATACATACGTACTTCACATTTTACTTTCAAGTCACTGTAAAACTTGCTTGTATGCTGTAAGAGTGATGCAGTAGACTACATTCCTGCATTGATACGTAGTCTAGTCAATCGATCCACATGTGGCGTGCATAGTTATGCCACTGTTGATCGACTGCTCCACCTGCATCCTGCATGTGGATAAACACAAGGACCTAAACGCAATTCTTGAGCAGTCCCCACTAGATAGTCGTCAGAACAGAGAAATGCAGGTACTCTTATTTCTCATCTGAGACGATAAGGTCAAGGTAAGACAAAACAAGCCAACAAATAATTCGAAATCGATTTAGGTCACAACGCGTCGAACTCCTGATGATGATAGGATGAAGAAGCTGCACTGGCGGAGTTCCAGTCCAAAGCTATGAGTTTGGGGTAGGGTAGAGGTGGAGGGGAAAGGTGGAAGGTCTTGTGTGAAATAGATTCTTCAGGGACATGTGTGCGCGTTCGCAAGAAAATGCTGAACGCCAAAGTTTTGGTGGGGAATGGTTGTCCTTGAGTGGAATATAACCTGCTACTTCTAGTAGACCTTCTTCTTCTCGTCCATGCTCAGTTGGCCGGGACCCATGTTGACCAGGAGAAGGAGACCGCCGCTGTTATACTGGTTAGGACACGAGTACTTGTGGAGACAGGGAAATAGAAACTTACACAATGGATAGAATCTGGAAGAAGTCGTACTTGGCAAAGTCCTTGTGGGGGTGGTGGGGGTGCAGCTGAGAGTGAGAGTCAGTTACGAGCTTTATCCGTCGCACAGGGAACTGAACGTACAGTCCAGAAGTTATTGACGAGTACGTTGAAGACACTCAACAAAACCACGAGAATGATGGCGCTCCACTTGGCTTTGAAACCGACGATGACCATGACACACGCGACGAAACCGAACAGGCTGACCAGCACGCGCCACAAGCTCCACTGGCCGGAGAAGACGAATCCAACGAAGAGGAAGATCAGGAGCACGCGACCAGCAAACTGGACGTACATCTTGCGGTCCTTTTCATCCAATTGGGGCAATCCGGCCGGGACGAACTTCTTGCGAACCCACGAGTCGGAGAGAACCATGAGCAGACCGCCGACGACGCTGAGATTGCGCAAGAAGAAGTTGAGATCAAAGATGAGCCCATAACCGAGACCTTGTGTGACGACAACTCCGAGCAGGCCGGCGACGGCGATCTCAGTGTGGCGGCGGGTGATGACCAGGAACGAGCATACGGACATTGCAATGACGTTAAGGATGAGGAAAGTATGCGTGATACCCCAGGGAACTGGATAAGGAAGATCGTGTTAGGGATTTGTCGCAAAGCTGTATTGGTATGGCGAGTCAGGGACGCTTACTTTTCCGGTATTCACGGAGGTATACGAGCTGATCGCTCCATTGTGTGATAATACGTAAGCTGTCCTCGATGAAGGTGACCACGATAAGGAAACGGCCAATGGCAGGAAGATAGCTACCAATCAAGACGACACAATGTCAGTATGTTTCTAGAATAAGGCTGCGGCTTGCTCGCCCTTGTTTGTATACTCCATCCCTTCTCGCGGACAAAGTGGAAGAGGACAACGTACGGCTTTACAGGATCCGAGATTGTATCCAACCAGTCTTCAATCTTGCTTGTCTGTTCCCGAATAGCGTCCAAAGGACTCGGATCGCTCGTTGCGTCTGCTCGTCCAGGTCCTCCGAAGGGGTTCTGGTGACCGAGGTTGTAACCCGCAGTGCCGCGAATCTGCGCCATGGCGGGATAATGAATCGGTGGAAGAGGACGGAATAATCACTTCAGACGAACGTCAATATCAGTAAACAGTCGGTTGGCTTGTGCAAAACGGAGGATAAATTCAACGAAACTCCGGAGCAGAATCCACAAGGAGCCGAAGAGGAGGCGGCGGGGAGAGTAGTAGTGGTGGTAGTTTGTTTTGTACGGCGTACTCCGTAGTAGTAGGAAACAAATAAGAAAGCGAGGGAGGCCAGCAAAACAGGGGAAAACAGGACTATGGATGGATCACAAACCTTTCGATGATAAAAGGGATGCGTCGAGAGAAAGTTATCCCAAAGGAACAATCAATAAGCAAGTCAATAATCAATCGTAACCAGAAAGAAGAAAAGAACTTGGAGAAATAATAAGAATGACTTGATCTCTTGTTGTTCCCTTTGTTACTCTTGTTCTGGTCACTTTGTTCAGTTCAGGCCACGATGACCGAAACTCGCCTCTAGTCCTGTTTGGGCAAGGTTGCCAAGGTCCACCTCCCTGCGCGCCCAGTGACGACATCACGATTCTCTAGTGATTCTGCTCATATTCATCAGAAGGTTGCTCTTTAAAATATTCTATAAATTTGGGAATGCCATAAAAATATACTAAATAGCCTCCATAATAGGGTCATCTCTACTGTCGGCCTGTGTGGTGGTGTTTGTAGATATCCAGAGGTCCCAATACCCCACACCCACATATTCAGGGACGCCGATCTTCAGGCCCGTTCCTTGTCCCTGATTCAACAGCTCAAGGTCGTTCTCAAGCATCAACTACAACTATCTACAGGATCATTTGAGGATTAGAATAAGAAATTGGAACTTCAGATCCAATTGTCGAGATATTACGTGTCTACAGAGTATAGAAGAAGCATAAATATAGAAACAGTTGAGTCTCCTCAGATCTGAGACGGCTACTACTTCACCACTTCACCGACACTAAGCTACAAAGGCAAGTAAGCTCCACCTAGTCTCGCGTAAGTCGACTCAAAGCTCAGATCTGTTCTCCTCGTCTCGACTTTCAAGATCAAATCACAGTACAAGCTGAGAACCCTAGACAGGTTGTCTGTGCCTTGGATTTTAGTCCCTGGCTCGGTAGACAGATCCTGAGATCAGCAGTAGATCTTGTCCAATGCTCGAGCTCGGGCCAGAGGGAAGATACCTATTCACAAGACCAAATCTACGTATGACAAGGGAAGAAGAATGACCAAAATAATGGAATCCATACAGTATGTGCATTTAAGGCCGCTGTTAGACTGGAAATATGAGATGTCGTAACCCTTGATAGAATTCATCAATCAATTATTGATCAAAAGCAAATATGTTATAAGAACAGTCAAGAGGTCGCAACAAAGACACACAAGAAAAATACATGAATTCTTTTTTTCCCCTTTCTCAATTTTTCTCCTCATATAGAGTCTCTTCTTTCTTCTGGCCAATTCAACCATGTTTCTCTCTTTCCTTCTTCCCGCGCTCAATCGTGGTAGAATGAATCCATCTCACCCGATACTAGACATTTTGTGGTATATCGAAGACAGCCCAAACGCCAAAGCCATGAATAATAAATACAGTCCAAGGCTTAGATTCTTGGAAGGAATGAGAAGCGTGCTGCTCTTATACGACGTTGTCTTCGTCTCCAAAGGATAAAAAGAAAAAGAAACGAAATGTTACACGGATCTTCTAAGCGGCCCAGTCGGAGTCGAGAGGGTGTCCCTTCTGCTTCGAGCGCAGAATATCGGGTATATAAGTGGGGGTCACAGTGACCTTGGGGGCAGCGGGAACGGCCACTGGAGCGGCAGGTGTCACCTGGGTCTCAGACGCACTGGCCTCGCTGAAGCTCTCATCGGCCTTTCCGCCCTTCTTCTTAGGCTTCTTGCTGGACACAGTGGTCCAGTCATCAATAGGATCAGCACCCAGAATACGCATCTGCTCCTCTTCCGAGGGAAGGCCCTGGTCCCACTTCTTCGAGCTCGAGGCAGTGGCAGGAGACTGCTTAGAGGACGGCGCTTCGAAAGTGTCCAGCAGTTCCACGCTGGGGCTCTGAGACACATTCGGGGTGCCGTTGGATGTGGGGTTCACCTCCTTTGCCTGCCAGGCGTTGCTCTGAGGCGCAACGGGCTTGGACTTGGCCGCTTCGCGGCGCTCAGCCTCCCGGGCCATGTGTAGTTGTTTCTCGAGAAGCTTGCGTCTTTCTGCCTCGGCTTCCTGAACTTGTTGCTTACGAGCCTCGTTCTTCGCCCGTTGCTGGCGTTGCTTCTTCGTTTCAACCTGCTTGAAAGACTGAGCCTTCTGCTTCTTCTGGGGCGCTTCCATGGATCCGGTGACACGGAGGACAGACGCGCCGGGAGCAGGAGCTTCGAGCATGTCCGATACATATCCAGCGGAGGAGGCGGTAGGCGGGGACCCCGCGGGGGAGAGATCATCATCCGCGTCGGCGCCAGCGGTGGAGGAGGTGCGAGTCGAGACGCGAGATCCGGAGCGCGTATTCTCTTCAGCCTCGAGCTGGCTGGTGGTCTTCTTCTTCTTCTTTTGAGATTTACCCTCGCTGCCGCTCACCTGGGCGGGGATTCCACTCTTCACAGCGGTAAAACGCTTGGCCATCTCCTTCTGGTCAATCTCTTCATCCCCATGATCACCCTCCGTAGCTTTGTACTCGAATGCGGGCTTCTCTTCGACCTTCTTGGTCGTTGTGGATGAAGTAGGCTCGGGGGATTTTTTTGCCTTCTTCTTTGGCTTCTTCACTCCAGTCGCACTTTCTATCTTCTCTACCGCCGGCTTGACTGCGGTCTTAGCTTTGGAATTCGGGACATTATAATACCATCCCAGGCCACCTGCCACCACGAGTAGCAGAGCCCAGCTAATGTAAGGATTCATCATGGTTCAAGCTGTATCCGCAACGTGTCAGCTCGTCAGGATCGAAGTGTCGCGTCGGTGTGGGAACGGAGCATACCTCAGCAAATTCGTTCTTCAAAGAGAAGCAAAAGGGACAAAAAAGAAAATAGTATGAGAAAAGTCGTGATATTGAGGTCGTCGTCTCAATTGATCGTTCTTTGAAGAGGAAGGTGGCAGAACGGCGTAGGACACTGGGCAGGGAGTAGCCCCTGGTACCGATAGTGATTGATCGCGGATAATTAATTGGCTGGAGAGTTTCGCAGTGACCCAATCCAATTTATACCATCAGGCCCAGAGAGGTTGGAGACTCGGTGGGTGGATGGGAGGTTGAAGGGGGTTCCGGGCGGAGAAGTCGCGCTGAGGACAGATTGCGTCCGCGAACAGAAAGAAGCAGTGTCGTTCGAGCGACCGGCTCTTTAGTAACTCAATTTTCGCACCTTTTACAAAGGCTGGCCAGGGAGAATTGAGTTGACCAGAGAGATATCCGACTGGCTCAGGGCAGTTGGTTGCAAGTCAAGAGGTGAGGTCGCGAGGGCATGAAAAATGGGGAAGGGAGGTGGGATCACCAGAGGAACATCGAGACAGCTGGTTGATCTCAGTTGAGAGATGAGAACAATAAAGATGAGGGTATGATGAACCGAAGGGATCGCTGGAAGGTCAGTGAGAGTGAATGACCGATGGGGAAGAGAAATAAGTAGTAGTGAAAGGTAGATAGAGGAGGTGGAAAGGAGGAGCGAAGTGATAATAATTACGACGGAAGAGGACACGGTCACTAAACTCCGCTCTCCAGGGCCTCTCAGTATGGACTTTCCGGAGAGTACCTTTGAGAGGAGATTAAATAGGCGCTACGGAGTAGCACTGGGAAGTCTCCACTGGGGCATATTTCACTGACAAATGATTAATTTCATCGATCATTGAATTTCAGCCTATCGAGCATCCATCAATTGATAGATAGACATTGTTTTATGAATTTCGTCCAATGTTTTGATTGTCACCTCCTTTCACTTCACCTGTCGGTATACTATCTACCGCCCTCAAACATCATTAACTGACTCGAAATTGTCTGAAAGGTAGTGAGTGACATTCACTCTGAAATTGAAGTCCCCTTAATGCATTGACAAAGGCACTTGCATAGGGAGTTAGATGATCCCTCCATCATCAAACAGACGACAGGGGTAATGCGCGCGGGGGAAGCCAACCAATCCCTCAAGCCATGAGTTATTCCAGACCTTTTCCATCAGCACATTCCCCTGACTTTGTCATCCAGTCTAGATTCCATATTACTGACACAGGGCTGGCATGATTGGTGCCGAGATACACGCGCAGTAACTAGTGTAATAGTCACAATCATAGTAAGGCTGCACCAAAGAAGAACAGGCCACGTTGACGGTTTGACTGCCGAGTCATCCTCCACAGGGTAGGTAGTTATCTATCTTACTATGTACCAACGTCAAGAGAACCTCCAAAACTGGCGAACAATTCGAATACAGAAGTACTAAATATTCAGTTGGAATGATGATTTTGTTAAATACTCACAACTCCTAACTCGTACCTCGACATTTCTTACTGGTTTATGGATGAGCAATTGACTCATTGGACGCCACAAGGGTACCTATACTTGAATCCATATCCATTTGATTGATGTTTGATCAACGAGTAATGCGAGGACGCGCACATTCTGTCCTGAAGGTAGATAATAACGTCAAGAAATCTCGACCGTCTGTTCTTCAGTCTTCCTGTTAAAACTATGGGTGTTGCTGCCTGATTCCCCAGGCCAAAAGGAACCTCACCGTTATGCATAAAACTGCATAAGCCTTACCCTAAGCATGGTAATGTGGCTGTCTTCTAGAATAATAATTTCCATCCGGAAGTATACTCCATACCTATCTACGAGTCTGCCCAAATTCTGGCACCGCTTTTGTTAGCAAATTGTCCCCTGCAAATCCGCGGTCAATTACATAAAAAGATCGTGTTCAAATACACTATGTAACCTTAAGCCACATCGGAGTACTCCGCACTTACTCCGTAGTCTTGATGAGAAAGTTCCCAGTGCTCCATATGGTGGGGAATATGATAACAGAGCCAAGACTGTAGGATTTCCCATCCCACTTTCTGTTGCCTTTCTAACTATCAACTTCTACAACGATTTGGTCCAAGAAAGCACCACTCATTTTTGGTGGACTTGTCAAACATTGACCGCTCATAAGACTGATTCATCGACTCACCGCATCATGGCGCCGAAGAAGATCATCATCGACACCGATCCTGTATGCCTTCGCCAGCTTCAATACGTATACAAAAACTGACATGATGTGAACAGGGCATCGATGACATCCTCGCACTCCTCCTTGCTTTATCCGCACAGCCTGAAGAGGTCGAATTGCTACTCATCTCTCTGACCTTTGGCAACATCGAAGTGAGGAGGTGAGTCGCCGTCATTCTAGTTGCATCAATTTTCAATTGCTAATTATGGAAAGCTGCCTCCGTAATGTCGTCTCCATGTTCCACATTCTGGAGCGAGAGATGCAATGGCGTCGCGAACAGGGCCGGCCTGAAGGGTTTGGCGCTCTGCACGCCTGTCGACCCGTCGTTGCCGTTGGGGCCGAGGACCCTCTAGAAGATCAGAAGATGTTGGCCGATTATTTTCGTATGCACCCTTGTCACAGAGAAGTTCGCCATTGATGCTAACTAGTTGATGCACAGATGGAACTGACGGTCTTGGGGGCATTCACGCTAGCGTATGTTGACATTTTCGACAGTCTCTCCACAGATGCTGACCATCGCAGCATCCGCACTTCACTCCAAAGGAAACATGGGAGCATATGTTCGATCCCTCGGCGGATCCCACTGTCATCGAGCCCATACGCACTGGAGACTCGGCGCATCGATCCTTCATTGCCTCCAAGCGGCCCGCACACCAAGAAATCCTCCGCGTACTACGCGAGAACGATCCCGACACCGTCACCCTCGTGGCCGTCGGTCCGCTGACCAATCTGGCCCTCGCTTCCGCGGAGGATCCCGAGACCTTCCTGCGGGTCAAAGAAGTAGTAGTCATGGGAGGAGCAGTCAATGAACCAGGCAATGTAGGCTTACTCCCAGCTGTTCTTATAGGTCTGTTTCTGGACTAACAAGTGACAGGTCACACCCGTTGCAGAGTTCAACGCATACGCCGACGCATTCGCCGCGGCGCGCGTCTTCGCCCTCACCTCCCCGAACCCTAAAACCACCATGCCATCCGGCACCACCCTCCCGTCCTACCCCGCTAAACTAAGCAAACAGCTCACACTCCGCCTCTTCCCGCTGGACATCACGCACCGCCACGGCATGACCCGCGGCCTGTTCCGTCAAACCGTCGCACCCCACCTGGAAACCGGCTCGCCGCTCGCGGAGTGGATGTCGGCCTTTATGGCGCACACGTTCCGAACCATCGAGAGCCTTCACCGGGACCAGGTCGGCGATGCTGTCGATCTCAGCCTGCACGACCCCGTCTGTGTCTGGTACGCGTTGACCGCGGAGGATGCGGGCTGGAAGCCCTCCGATGCCTCACCTGAGGATATCCGGGTTGAGGCGACGGGCCAGTGGACGAGAGGCGCGTGCATTGTCGACCGACGCCCCCGGCAGCGCCTCGAAGGAGAGGAGGAAAGTGCCAGCGACCATGGCCATTGGTTGAGTACGAAGGCTGGAAATCGTATCTGGAGAATGGACGGTTCGCCTGCGGAGAAGAACTTTGGCGCGATTCTACTGGAGCGGATATTTCGGTGATTCCGTCGTTAGAACTGAAGCATGCACCTTTCATTAGAGCAAATAGATGCAGGGGAATCTCTGATAGAATAGTACATATCCAGCAGAGTATTGTATGAAACGTCGATCAGTGTATATCACAGTCACTTGCCTAGACTGATTTGTACTAGAGAGGAGTGCCGCGTGAGAGCTGAGCTGCAAGAAAGCAGCCACTGATGAGATCCCTGGATCTACTGGATGCTCATAGACGACGGCTTTAGAAGTATCCATGCTTCATGAGTGCCCACAATTATCTGAAGAAAGTAGCGCGGAAATGAGGGATCTCTCGTGGCCAAGCATTTTCCGATGCATTGACTGCCAAGGTCAGATCCCTTCTATTTTGAACAAAACGGCAGGTTCCTCCGAGGGTATGCTGGCGCGGAGAATTGCCGCTTGAGTCATGGCGGATTGCTAGCAATTTCCTCTGTCCACTTCAGAGCCGGCGATGACAGCATAATAGGATGGTATATTTGCATATCTTTATTCAGATTTACGAAGCAGCTAATCGTAACTCCTGAATCGTAGTACTTGAGGAATACTACGTCAACCAGGAGAGTACGTATAGCTTATAATTTCCGCTATTCAGCTACAGTGGCTCGATATGCTATTACGATCAGCCGGAAACCGGCTCAATCAAGTATGCTCTTGGAAGAATATCTTCTCGGAAAGTATACCTTATTTGACATCGAGCGCACTTAGGTACGTACTGATGAGACGCATTCAATGGACTCGGAATCCTCCCGGTGTGATTGCAGCTGGTTGGACTTATTAGGCATGACCACACATGCCGCAGGTATGAATCGTATTCTATATCTTATTCAAGCCAACGGCCCAACATGAGGAAAATGACAAAGCTTGACTGATCATCAAGGGGCTAACTCTCATAATTAATCCTTACCAGACGAAAGATCATCAGTTGGGTACTCAATGTAAGCAAGGACTGAGGTATTATTTTCCAGCGATTAGTGATTACTGCTACCCAGGGACATAACAGGAAAAGGTGTGCGTGTAAACTCTCAAGAGGTAACATAGAGTCAAAGCCAGATGATGATCAGTGCACCCTGGTTTCTCCGGATTCATCTTTCCGTGTCCCCTTATCAAAGCCTTGAACAGCAGCACGAGCCCCAAATTGGTGGACGAGATGAACCCAGGGCAGCCGGTCTCGTGCCTCGCCGACCCCCCGGTGGACCAGCCTATCACAGCCCGAGAAGCTACCGCGTGGGCAAACCCCAAAGCACGCGACACCCATTTTCGCTCAGTGTCTGTAGGTCTGAAGGTCCTGCCTAGCCTTTTACCTTAAGTCCTTAACATATTGAACTTTGTCGATCGTCCACTCCATTTCCCACCTCTCTGCACATGTCTTTCGGCGGGTCGAATCATCTTCAGCACGGTATTCGCATCTCCACCATGTTTCCGACTTGGTGAACAATGTCCCAGATTTTAAGAGTCTCAGGGACAGGGGTCCGACTAAGGAAACTTTCTCTTATCTGTGTACGCAATTGACTCGTTCTTAATAGACCTGAGGCTGCTGTCTCCTTTTTTCTCATCTTCCGTCTTTCTCTCACTCCCTTGTTGCCCGTCTCACACGTGTCTCTTCTACGGTCAATTTGTACAACGACAATCTGATTGTCGTACTACAGCTTGCTACCTAGCTGCTCCAGGCCTTTCGTCGGCTCATTCAGACCTCTCTATTTTCCCTACCCCAGACTAGGTGCTGGTTTAATACACCGATCCTGCCATCATGTCGCGTTCACGTCTTCCCCCAACTCCTTCAATGTCTGGAGAATTCATCATCAAGGAACAAACCTCCGTCGACGGTGCAGACGCCTTTGCATTGCCTCCAGCTGCTCTAAGTCCATCCAAAAGCGCGAGCGCGAGCAGGAGACCTTCCAAATCAGACTCCTCGGCCTACTTTCCTGCTTCTCCTACCTCACCCGAACTCACAGGCGTGGGCCGCAATGCAAATCCTCCGCGTCAGGCTGGTACCAAGAGGTTACTTGAGGATTTTGATCTTCCCCCTCCGCCGACCCGGACCCGCAAGATCATCCAGATGAAGCCCAAGACACAAACCCAGGCCAAGCCTGCCACAACAAACACCAAGCCTTCAACCAAGGATAACGCGAAGAACCAGCCTGCCAGCAATGCAAACGCCGCAGCGTCTGCCAACTCGAAGAAAAAGCAGCCTAGTGCGACAAGCGCTGCAGGTCGGAAAATCGCGAGGAAAACGGCGCACAGTCTTATCGAGCGTCGGCGGAGATCTAAGATGAACGAGGAGTTTGCGACTCTCAAGGACATGATTCCCGCTTGCCGGGGTCAGGACATGCACAAACTTGCCATTTTGCAGGTACGATCCTTCTTGCTTTCCAAATAATAGCTGCAAGCGATCACTGACTTTCCGCACAGGCAAGCATTGAATATGTCAATTACCTGGAAAAGTGTGTCCAAGACCTCAAGACGGCCGGCAGTCAACGGACGACGGCATCGCCGTTCATGCCGCCTGCTCCTCCCTCTCCCACGTCACCCGAGATGCTCGGTGAAGTTCGCAGTGGGACGCAATCAACGTCTGTGTCTCCAGAGCTACTGCCTAACGGCGCTCACACCAACCACACTTCACCAGCTTTCTCTCCTCGTAGCCGCATGCCGTCAATAGGGACAGCGATCGAATTTTTGCCTGCGATCCTTCCCAGCCCGGCGTTAGGTCCAGTCCGCTATGGCGAGGGGACCATGCACCCTCCACGTGGCTCATGGACCGTCCCGTCATCAACGCTTACCTCGCCCGTCATTCAGCCACGAGCCAGCAATGCCTCGTCTGGAAACGACGCGGACATTGACCATGAGGCCTCCGCCGCCCTGCTCATGCTGAACAGGGATCGCCGCGGAACTGTTGGCTCTGTGCAGGAGGGTGTTGCGAGTCCTGAGTCTCGGAAGAACAGCGCAATATCGACACAGGACTCGCAAAAGAAGATGGGAATGAGTGTCAAGGACTTGCTTATTGTATAGATTGTATTTCCATTGTTCCGGCGTCAGGAGGTTTAGCCTGTTTCAAAAGGGATCCTGGGTGGTGTTCTGTTTTCTCTCGGTAATGGAATATGAAGGCGCATGGCTACTGGGACTTTATAATGAATAATGATCTTTGGGGTTTACGGAATCAAATACCGACTTACTGCCGCAACCAATACACTTGAACGAATCACCTCTAGGTCAAGTTAAACTTCTACTCCGTAAACGAACATATCAGAACGATCAATGCGTCAGCAGCCATAGCTCACTAGTAGTACCAAGTCCGAACACGCCCCCGCCTGAAGCATCGAGGATGAAACCTAATTATCTCTAACAACACCGGGGCACTTGAACGCGGATAGTGGGTGTCTCACTCGCTGCCTTATCGAGTGGCAAACACCTGTTGCGACAGGGAGGGGCACAGACCAATCAGACGAACCTTCCAGTCGTCTTCTCGAAACCCGGACAGTCATGAGGGGAATCCGGTGCAGCACTGGGCAGGGGTTAGTCTAGGTAGTCTATGTCATTTCTTTTCCTTTCCCCGTAGAGAGGTATGGTGCGTTGAAAGGGCTGGACTCGTCCGTGCACTTCGACTTTCATCTGCTCAGCGCAAAAGGCGCCGCACGCGAGCATATTTTCCTGTTAAGATCATTATGCTCGGATCCATGCAGTGTAACCTGTTGTCACTTGTCGCGGTGTAGGTAGCCCCGAGACATTGTCTCTACAGTATGCCTTTGCTTGGATATACCTTTTGCCTGTTTTTGATATCCTCGCGATGATCATCAAAGGAGACGAGAAGATGACGGTCAGCATGCTTGAGGCGTCAATCGCAGGGCTCGTAAATAATTCATCCTCTGCGCCCACTTCTGCCAAGCGGTGATGAATGTATCGCGGCTCGCTGGCTCCACCGAGTCAATGCGGAGTGTGGAGTATGCACGGAACGGTAGGTAATTCCTACGGCCTACGGGTACAATCAGCTATAGAAAAGCAATTATGTCAGTTTCTGGCTATCTCATGGCTGTCGCTCTGTTGTATTTATTTGTTTTTCGTACTGAGGTAAGCTGGTACTCTGAGGTACCCGGAAGAGGAAAAGGGATAAAGTACTCCATACTCAGTAGTACAATGATCTACGCCAAGTGCTTGGTATGCGCCCCGGTCAATCATCAGCTCAAGATATTGGATTGAACTATTTGAGCGGGAATTCGGATTGTCTTGGCTCGATACAAGGAGAATCTCCTGGGGGAATGAGTACTGTAGTAAGTAATTCATGGTTTCATAGCTGTGGATCTGGATTCGTAAGTACCACGCTGAGCAACTCGGTAGGTTACTGGTTGATGACGTCGTTGAGTGGCTCTCAGTAAAGCGCCGTTCGAGGTACTCAGGTACAGGTCCTAGGAGCCTCTGCACTCTGAAGTGTCAGGGTATCTACTTTTTTCATGAGTAATGCTCCTGTTCAGTAATAAGAAGTCTAAGGTAGGTACTAGAGAGGTACGTTTTGTCCATCAAGTAGCATGTCTGCCAAGTGTTTCTGGCCTGTCACATAACCAACCGATCAATAAGAGTCAACCATTCACATTATTGCCTCGATCAAATGGAATTCCGATGATGATTGCCAAGCTAGGGAGCCTGACGTCGCAGTTCCCCAATCATTCGTTTCACTCTCGGCACATCTTTGCCGGTAGACCTTCCAGTCCTAGTATTCTGGCCTTCTCCGAGGAGTTTCAGCAAGAACGCCCCGCACGAGGTGTATGAGTTCATTTCACTCCATAACTCCCTGTCTGGACTCTGCCTGTCTCTGTCTAGCCGAGTGACTGCCTGTGGGTCAAACTTTGTCTTCTCTAGTCGTTGCTTAACTGACTGCCCTCCTAAATACTTAATACAGCCATCCCACCCATCCTCCCCTCCCTGCGTCTCCCTTCAATCGACAACAACCCCCAACTATCCACAACTATTCTTCTTCTATCCTCAGCGCTTCCGAAACTCCCACCAGTCATCCTATCCATCACAATGTCCAGATTCCGCTCGCAACGCAAGAAAAACGCTCGCTCTATCGCTTCAGAGGACCCCTGGAGGGTCGATACCCCCTTCGGCCCTCCACGGATGTCCTCCTTCCGCGGCGGTGGCATTCAACGAATCCGCAATACACTTTCCAGGTTGTCACCCTCCGCACGAGCGGAGAGAGAACTCCTGAAACAGAAGAGCCAATACAAAATCCCCTTGACGGAAAGGAATATCGACACGCTGGTCACCAACCAGCTCTTCTCCGACTCGTTCAAACCAGAACGGCGCACGGAGCTGCAAATATCCGCCTGGCTTGAGAGACTGGCATATTAATCAAATTGACTTTACCGATGACATACTCGTCTCTTCTGACCGAGAACTACCCCGCCCATATCTTGTCCTCCTTGTCGACACCGAGTACTGGTCTGGTTCGAGCACCGTCAGCTCAAACCGAAAATGGCTCATTAATCACAAGGAAATTCCTATCCTATCGATTTGGATTGGAAACGAGTGACTCTCATCGCTCTCTTGGCGTCGACGCCATCGCCCGATATGCCGCGCCAGGTATGCAAGTCTATCCCCCCTGCCGCAACGCAACGCAACAGCAACAACCTAGCAAAGAATCTCAGACAGCTTGAGGAGCGATTAACGTAACCTCGTTTCAACAACAATTGCCCGGGTGGTCTAGTGGTATGATTCTCGCTTAGGGAAAAACCCAAGCATATCTGCGAGAGGTCCCGCGTTCGATCCGCGGCTCGGGCCGTTTCTTTTTTATTCTTTTTGCTCTCATTTAATGCCATAGCAGGCATTGTCTTTTTTGTGTCTTACTTCAAGGCGACAATTTCTTTTGTGATAGATACCCTCCTGTTTAGAATCCGTCTTTCCAACGTTGTTCTTGTTTAGCTTGGAGCTTTGGTGATTTTGCCGGCGTAACAACAGTAATTCTGAGCTGTTCATTTTTGATAATGATAAGTTGATAACAGCAGATGGATACTCCTCTACTCCGTAGTCTAGTGGGAATCGATAACTTTTCAGTGTTTTCTCATCTTCGGCTCTCAGTAGCTGATTTGGTTAGATACTTGGGGTACTTATGTCTCCTGCGGGTGCCCCTCGTTGCTGTGCTTCATACTTCCGTCGACATATATTTAGTCCCGCAGCAGCAACAACAACCACGACTACAGGCCCACCGGTCTTTCTCGCTATAATTGACACCCATCCTACTAATATCAGGTGAATAGAGGACTGACATGAGCATGGTCTCACCTTCACTTTAGTATTCGTCTCCCAAATCTTTCATGCACCTGACCATAGACACTCCTAGTGAGGGGTAACTCGCAAGCGGATAAGATAGCAAGCAACGGAATGCTGCGACCAAAGAAGGTCGCTATTATAGGTAGACAAACTTGCCTCACACCGATATAATCACCAATATAATCAGAGATTATATTGGGATTCGCAAGTCCCCTGAAGAACTCACTGTTTAGTAGGCGCCGGGCCGTCCGGCCTCGTTACGGCCAAAACACTCCTGCACCATTTCCCGGAGGGCACATTCAGCCCAAGCATCTTCGAGAAACGCCATGAGATAGGCGGCTTGTGGCCCATTCGTCGCAATCGCAGGGGTTCCAATTCCGGTTCTGTCTCAAAAGATCATGGCGCAGCTGGACCAGTGAATCCGTCCATGCGAACGAACCTCAGTCGCTTCACCGTCTCCTTCTCCGATTTAGCCTGGGAGTCGGTGCTTGGGGGTACGGATGTGCCTATGTTCCCGCAGGCATGGCAAGTGGGCAGATACCTGGAGACCTATGCGGAGCGGTACTTATCTGACCAGGTGGTCAGGTTGGGGTGTGAGGTTGTGCGTGCGGTTCGGGAGGTGGTGGGTGGCCAGCCGCGATGGACCGTGCAGTGGGTGCAGAGGAGGTACTTTGTTCGGGATTCCTGCCTATTGCATGGCTGATATAGTCGAAACAGTGGAAATGAGGAGCAGGGAGATGATACCGAGCAGCGCGCAGTGGAAACCGAATACTTTGATTTCCTGGTCGTTGCTTCGGGGTACTTCTCTCGTCCGTATACGCCGGACATCCCTGAACTTGCTGCCTTCGCCGACAGGACTGTCCACAGCTCTGCGCTACGCAGCCTTGAAGATCTGGATGCGATTGTTGAGAAGGGCTCTGATGGAGGAAGGTTAGTTGTCGTAGGGGGAAGTATGTCGGGCGTGGAGGCAGCTTCCTCTCTCGCCCTTCACGTTTCCTCATTGAGGTATGCGCCGGGGTCATCGGTGCAAACAGGTAGCTTCCCCGAAGTCTACCACATATCCAGCCGGCCTTTCTGGACGGTGCCGACCTATATACCACACGCGCAGAGGGACAATGCGACTGGCACGGAGACGGTATCTCTGCTCCCGCTTGATTTGGCTATGTATGATTTGGCCCGGCGGCCACCAGGGCCGGTTGAGTATGCCTTTGGCCCTGTCTCGGCAGCGCAGGTCGCCAAAGTGAACGATTATTTCCGATCCGTCTTAGGGGAAGACTATACGAGCATCGGCCCTGGCGATAATGGGTTAAAGGGTGGCGAAGAGGAGACTCTGCAACCTCGGTGGGTAGGTATAGGGAATGATTACGCGGAGTTCGTCCGGTCAAAAGCAATCAGAACAGTCATCGGCCGTGTTTCAGCCGTGCATGCTTCCTCACCTGGTCCGGCAAAAGTTGACATTGAGCTACCTGGGAAAGAGAGCATGTCGCTCTATGATGTTGCAGGGATTGTCCTGGCTACGGGATTTAGGCCGTTTCCTTCGCTCGCGTTTCTCCCTGAAGACGTTCTCTCTGCACTGGAGTATTCACCCGATGACTCCTTCTTCCCGCTGATCCTAGACCCAAAGGGCGCTTCTAATGCCAATATCCCTGATCTGGGCTTTGTCGGCTTCTATAGAGGACCGTACTGGGGCGTCATGGAAATGCAGGCCCGAAGTCTTGCGCAGACCTGGGCTGGAGACGACACAGAGCATGGCATTCAGTTTTCCGCGACAGAGCTGGAGAGCAAAGCACAAGAAAGACAGAAAGTTCGCGAATACCGGAGTGCGGATCCGAACCTCCACCGAGGACAGTTCCCAATGGGAGATTATACCGGGCTGATGGAGTCCTTTGCTCGGGATCTAGGGATATGCTGTGCTCCTTTGACGGAGCTCGACGAACGACCTGGCCCTGTTGTTCCGGCACGGTATGCCATGTCTGGTCCAGGGACCGCCGATGTCCAAACGAGTTTGCAGGCTCTGCAAGAGACTCTGCAACCTAGAAGGGAAAGTGCCAGTCCAGCAGTGACCATGGCGGTCTTTCGAGCCCTTCACGGCAGCTGGGACTTTACTCGATCAGGACAAGACGGTATAACATCCGGCATTTCTACGTTCTTCCCGCGGTATCCGTCCAGCCCCGCTTATGAGAAAGAATATCTGTACGAGGAGAGTGGTCAGAAGCTCGCAAGTTTTGTGTACCGGCTCACAGATAGTCCCCAAGATGCGCAAATCACGATATGGTCTGTTGACTCTCAGGATAAGACTGCTGTTGCCCTCTTGTATGGCCTAAGGATCTTGAATCAGGAGGGTTCAAGCACGTCAAGACAGGGAGAGTACACTATTCGCGCAACCAGCAGCCAGTGGAGCAGCAACTGCACATATGAATACGTGTTTCGATTCAATGGCGTAGCCATATCATCCTGGGAATATACTGTTCGCAGGCCACTGGACCACGGCTTTGTCTTGAATAGAACGATATACAGACGTGTCCAAAAATGTGACGGTCACTGACCACCTCGACTCCACTTAATAAGTAAATCGAAAGGCAGGATGGTCATCGCCCAGATTCTCCAATTCGTCCCGGGGCAGTTCCAGCCTCCAGTCCCTTCTACCTGCATCCCTTAACCTATTCTCCCTCGCCAAGTAAGTCAGGAACAAGGCGCACGCCGCTCCGCAAATCCAGGTCATCCCCAGACTCACCCCGTACCCGGTAGTATATCGCGGAGCCTCCTCCTTGAAGAAGATGTTACTGGCCACCAGCCCTCCACAATTGCCAAATCCAATCTGCATTGCCGACGCAATGGACTGCTTGTAATGACCCGCCATGTTGTTACTTAGCCAGCCCATGAGGATCGGTTGCGTCAGGTACCCGCCGCCTGTGATGGCGAAGACGGCAAAGTAGCGCGCCCCGACGGGCACGGATGCCTGGCAGAGCAGTATCACATAGCCCACGGTTGCAACGAGACAGCCTGCCAATGTGAACAGGTATCGGTGGCGAAGTCGATCGCTGGCATAGGCGGCGGAGAGGGCGATGACCGTGGCGACGCAGTAGATGGGGATACTCATGACCTGGGCTCGGACGGCGGTCCATCCTAGCTGGTTGAGGATGGTGGGGGTAAAGAAGGAGACCGCGTAGCCGGTATTGACAATGCCAAAGTACATAAGTGGTCTTCGTAGGGAATCACCATCAGTTCTTTATTACTTTGAGATCGAAGGACGGTGGACATAGGACATACCCCAGGTAGATCTTTGGATCTGAAAAGGCACGTCGCAATGACTTCTTATCCAGACGGTCCATCCTCGCTTCACCTTGGTCTTCTGCTAGACGGCGGAGGAGCAGCGCTCGCTCGTCCTCGGTCAGGAACCTGGCGGTCTCGGGCCAATCGACGACGATGAACTTAGCGATGACCGCGACGACAATGGTGGCGAGACCCTCGAGGATGAAGATCCAGCGCCAGCCACTGTACCCGGCGACACCGTCCATGTTGTTGATGGCGTAAGCGAGTAGCTGAAAGCATCAGCAACCTCGTAAATCAAGAGAAGGATGATGGATCTACCCCGCTAATTGCGCCAGCACAGATACTCGCACTGAAGAAGACGTTGAGTCGCCATTGGAGCTCATGACGACGATAGTACATATTGATCAGGTAGACGGATCCTCATGAGAAGTCAGCATGAGAGCTTTGAAACGCGGACAAAAGAGAAAAGTACCAGGCATGAAACCCGCCTCGAACACCCCAATGAGGACCCGACACACCACCAATCCTTGAAAACTCTTCGTAACGCCTTGACAGACAGTCAGAATCCCTGGGGCACTGTCAGCATCGCTCACCACCTCGGCAACCGCACAGAAGAGCTAAACACACCCCAAGCAAACATAATCCCACTCAACCACCACGACGGCCTCATCTTCTTCAAGAGCATATTACTCGGCACCTCGAAGAGAATATACGGAATGAAAAACACAAATAGGGCGATGTTGTACTCATGCCCGGTCATCCCCAGGTCCCTCTCCAGCCCCATCAACCGGGCATTCCCGATGTTGATGCGGTCGAGAAAGGCAAACATGAACAGGACAGTGAGAATGGGGACAACGTGCAAGTCGCATTTCCATAGGAGCCGTCTCTCCGCTGCGCGATCGAGTTCATCTGGCGGGAAGGAAGCGGACTTGATATCCTCGATGGTGGAGTGTGTGCACTCGTCTTTTTCGTCCATTGTGTCGGTACTAGTACTCGTACCTACTAAAGTAAGACAAGCAGCAGCTAGACTATAGCCCTACTAGAAAGTACTACCTTACACGCTATGAGATCGACGATATCCACCCTCTTATAGACATTCGACAAGCTCAATATGCATATGTCGTACGCACACCCCGCATATTGCGGATCTTTGCCCTGATTCCGCGGTGGATTGCCGAGTCATGCACGAGACACGGCAATTCCGCTCCCCAGTAGATCACAACTACAGAACTGGAGAGTATTTCGCGAGTGACTGAGTTCAATTTAGAGGATGGCTTTACCAGACTCGATCCATGCTAGGATTCAAAAGCAATATACCTGCAATATACAATGCTCTCAATTGGTGATCTACTGCAAAACCATACACGAAGTATTCCAGTTCTTTGCGAAGCATGATACTTGTACTTGTGGTCGTGACTCGGGGTTCTTCACAACCCCAGCTTCCCCAGATCTTTGCAAAGTGCGGAGTGATTCCACTGCGGGGATGGATCAACGGACGGTGGACCACGGCTTATCCACCGTTTTCTGTCGGTTGTTGATGCAGGGCGGAATGGGGTTCCGCTCAAGCTTGATTTAGAAAAGGAATGGATACTAGTGGTTGATCAGGTTGCTTCCTTTCGAGTGGACCAGTTAGTTACTACGCACTCGAGTGATGATCAAAGATTTGGTTGGAATGGTTCTGTGGGGTGGGTTTCCTTCCAGACTCTCTGTCTAACGTCGAGAAGTCGCGGCCTGTGAATCGCCTGACTCTGTCTATGAACTACCTTAGCTGACAGGCGTGGCTTGTCCAATGGTTGTAGGTTGCCGTGACAATTAAGGTGGTTACGAGCATGTTACACAAGGCCAGCCGAAATACGCATTTTTATACAGCGAGCAAAACTAACACAATACTCAGTCTTGTACGTAGTATCAATACCAGATTGACCACTTATAAACATTAGCTGGATACAGCAAGGTCATGATATCAACGGCACTTGGGCACTTGCCGGCAGACATCTACCGTCTAGCCTCGAGGTTTTCAATAGTCACCGCATCACTCTTCTCATTGGCCTCGTTCTCAAAATGTCTCTCCTTCTCTCCAATCATCATCCGCTCGCCGTTGGTAACATGGTTGGCGCCCCCGAAGAGAGCGTCGATCTCCTCCAGGGGAACTTGCTTGGTCTCGGGAATGAAGAACCAGACGAAGACGGCAAGTAAGAAGTTCACACCTGCGAACATGTAGAACGCGTAGAACCCGCAGTTCTTCAGGAAAATGGGGAAGAATTGTTGGAAAATGGCATTGGCGACGTTCTGAGTCTGCGAGGCCATACCTACGGCCTGGGCACGAACGTTCATCGAGAATACCTCGGACGTCCAAATCCACACGGTTGCACCCCAAGAGGGTTTGTCTGAGACAAAAATGTTAGTAGGGTCGAGTACGGAACGGACCACGATAACTTACAGAAGAAGATGAATAGGAATAGTAAGAACACGATCGATATTCCGACGGGTTCTGTTTTCACCCCGTGCGGCGATGGTGTTTCAGTTTCAACAGCGGCGACAATGATCATGCAAAGACCCATGCCGATACCACCGACAATCAGGAGGAATTTGCGTCCGAAGCGATCAATAATCCACACGGCGTTCAAAGTAAAGATAATACCAAAGGTGGCGTTGAGGGCATTGATGAGAGCGATCGTTCCGGCGCTGGGAAACACCTTCTGGTAGATCTTCGTCGAGTACGAGTTCAGGGAACCTTGTCCAGTGACTTGTTGACCGGCGTTAATGATGAGCGCCAGAGCCATACGCTTACGGAGGGACTTGTCCTTCCAGAGCGCACTATAGTTGCTGGAGATGGCTTCCTTTTCGTACTCGAGGGCCTCACGGATTCTCAAGATTTCCTCCTCCACTTCCTCTTCAGTCTCACGGACTCGGCGCAGAGCAGCGCGGGCCTTTTCAACGTTGTCACCTCGCTGGAGGAACCTGACAACCGTGTCAGTTATTTTGAAGTTGTATTGAGGTTTGCATCAGCTTACCATCGTGGAGAGCCGGGGATTGTTGGCAGAAGAGCCAGAATCAGACTGGGAACGAGCAATTGGAATATGACAACCATCTTCCAGTCCCACTCGCCCAGGTTCTCCTTATGCTGCGTGCAACCGTAGTTAACCCAGAAGCAAATGAAAGATCCAACGGAGTAGAACATTTGCCAGAAGGTCATTATTTTTCCACGAATCTCTGGTGGCGCCAGCTCACCAATATAGATAGGACCGGCGGCTTCACAAATATACTCAATTAGCGCAAGACAAAATACACTCCATTGGAAAAGGATACTCACTCAAGGCAATACCCTGTCCGATACCGATGATGAGACGACCAGCAAGGAAGCATCCGATGTTACCACGTGGGGACCATGTCTGCATGAAGGTGGATGCAATAACAAGGACACAGCCGACGCCCATTCCAACCTTGCGGCCGAGATAATCAGCAATGGGACCACCCAAGAAGAAACCGCCGAAGATGGCGCCCACGGTGTAGGCCGTGTTGACTGCGCCAATCATGTTCTCATTTGGGTTATTAAAAAATTTGACCCAGTTCTTGGAACCCTGGACGGAGTTGTAGACGGACGCATCGTAACCATAGAGAACCATGCATGCTGCTGCAACGAGGGAGATGAACCTGAAAAGTGTCGCCGTCAATCAATCGTCCGCTTCGTTCCAGCCGTCAGAAACAAGACTCACCAGTTATAGCCTCTCTTGGAGAGGATTTTGGTCATCATCTTGGCAGATGATTCGTGTAACACGGCTTTGTACAGAATCTGAAAAAAGGATGGTAGAAGTATACACCAGGTGCCCAATCGCAGTCTCTCGTCCTTGTCAGCCAAGCCCTAGACTGTCGTAGGGTGCTTGTCGTATTGTACAAGACACAGATGCTGAAAGACAAGACTCTGCCCAGAGGTTCCAAGAGACAGATATATAGCCCCCGGGAAAGATCAAGGAGAGATGGCGTCCGAGGCATAGAAACGAGCAAGAGCCAGCCCATTATATTAGACCATGGGAACACTCAAGCCCATGGCCGCATCCTTGTCAACACTAGGCAAAAAGCACCAGGAAACAGTCCAATCAGCATCGATTGACCTGTCTCTCCTGGGTGGCTTGATGGTGTCTAGCTCTCAACTCCATGTTTCTAAGTGGTGGGGTATCTGGGGTGGACCGACGGGGGACTCAGTACGGAGACTTTGATCTAGCCCGGAGCCAGTACAGTGTGGGCGTGGCCACGGTAGAACCTCGGACGCGGATTTGAGGAAATTCTGCCCCGTTGATAAAAGATATATTAAGATTTCCACGAATCGGCGACCGGCTGCGTCAGGGGCCATGGGGAAAAGCGAGTCCACCAATAGAAACGACTGCGCTCGACTCAAGAATCCAGTTCTTGTCTCATGGTGGAAGAAGGTTCGAACCAAAGCCTTGTGTTCCGCTTACGATGGAAATCCGGGGACAATAATGACAAGGCAGTGATGAGGAAGTTTAGTGGAGAAAGCAGTTGAGATCTGTTGGCGGACGTGGAGAAGAGATGCACAGACAGGAGGAGATTCCATCGGTGTCACGAGCCCATCATCGCTAAGGTAATCACTAGATAGTTAGGGCTGCCCCAATTATCCCCAGATGAATTCCAGTCAACTCGACAAGCTTTAACACATTTAGGCAATTTGACGCTTAGTTGATTGGCCAAGATTCATTTGCCCCATCGAAACTCAGAAGTTGCTGACTTTAAGACTTATTATCAACCAAATTTCTATGATTTCACACCATATAATCATTGTTCAGAGAGACGGTTGGGCACATTACATTAACGCAAGACCGCAAATAAGATTCGATATAACGACCTACGGAATACCGACATGCTAAACTCTGAACGATACTGCCTTCTTGTCCAAACCTCGAAGGCTGGGAACAAGAAGTGGGAGTAAAAAAAAAATGGCACGATGATTATTCAAAAGCCAAATTGGTCGAGAAATCTCTCAACCTCCTGTGACTTTCTGTCAAAGACTTGTGGGATGAGAGACGACTGACCCATCGTTCCTGAGCTCGGCCCCGTTGCCACTGAAGAAATCCGGTGGTGTCTTGGACTTTGTCTCTCTACAGTACCTTCGGATACTTGCATTGGGTGCTCGAGGGAGAACTGGAATTTTATGAGCGGATTGTCCGCCTTTCGCATGTTCCGTATCGAGTGACTCTATGTCGAAGATGTCTTGAATTCTTCCGCGAAAGTCTCTTCGAAACGCACCGAGTTGACGCCATTTTTGTTTCAGTGTGAAGAAAGGCAACGTGGGATCACTGGCATCGTCTGTTCCAGTCACGTTTTCCCTCTGCAATACTTCTAGCTTGGTCGGGGAGGAAAATCCAGGAAAGAGGGACGGTAGAGAGTCGACTTGAAAGACCGAGGAAGACCCCGATTTCGTGGCAGGACTTCGAGAAGTCTGGGCACTACATAGACCCCGAAATATCCGGTATCGCCTCTGCACTCCTCTGCAGAAGCTGCGCAGCAGATACAGAAGAACAGCTACCACAACAAAGCAGCCGAGCAACACGCAAACACTGTAGAAGGCTTGGCGTCCACTAACCTCCTGTTTCGAGCAGAGTCTCTCAATGACTGCAAGGTTCCTTTCTGGATAACATAGTGCACATATCTCCTCTTTAGCCGGAGTTTTACCCTCTGGTGCACAAGTCTTCTTCAGATCGAACCCTTCGCAAAAAGTGTCCACACATACACTGCCACGACTGTGGGAATTTTTCCGGACGGGATCATTATTATCATGAGGGTGAACGCGGCCATCTGAGCCACTCCTGAAGCCAAGGGTATTTTCTGATGTTTGTGTCTCAGTTCGAACCTCTCTACGTTGAGATGCTGACTCTGGGTCCGATCCCGAAGCTGCCTCCGGTTGACCGTTCCAGGTCTTGCTGCGTCGTTCCCACTGCGGATCGCTGTGCTCCAGGCGAAAGTCGAGTACTATAATTTCGCCGAGCGTTACGATAGCTTCTGGGCTGTCATGAGGTCGCGTCAATAACCGCTTCCATAGTTGCATGCTCGCTTCTTTTCCCACTGGGATCGTCAGGGTCACCGTCAGATTCAGAACCGATCGAACTCCGTCTTCCGAGCTTCTTGAGTGTATTGAGATATTTCGGCCAGGTATTGCTCCTGGGTCAGTCCAACACAGTCGCCGACCCAGGGAAACCGCATATCCTAGTTCGTCGACTTCAGCGTCCGAGTAGTTGAGGCCACTAAAGATGACCAGTGCCTGATTGCAATATTCGAGCTCATAGGTTTGATTGCTAAGGGACTTGTCTGGCGATAGTCCTAGACTTTCTGTGACGTTGACAAAAGACGCAAGGAAAGCGTAAAGGAGAGCGATAAGATGCTGTTGACAGTACATTGGATTGGAGCAATAATAGCTCAGACTGATGATACAAAATACCAAAGCTGCAAGCTCTCATGTCAAAGACCAGAATTGAGAAGTGTCACTTGGAGACTACGAGGAGCTCGACTATACCGCATGGCCGAAGTCTTGCAAAGTCAGGAAGGAACAAGATGTCACTCATGGAAGCTACACCTGATCTCTTCGACCACTTCAGTCCGCCGTAATAATCGTGTGGATAACATTTGAAAGAGCAAGAACGCTTAAGTGAGAAGACAGACCATCTCTGTCAAGCATCAAATGTTCATGACGTGCAGCTCATCATATGTCTTGTTAGAAGAATGCTCCAGAGACAGTCTTCTTGCTATGAAGAGATAAGCCACCAACCTGGTTCAGACTGAACACCATGAAATGTCACTCCTCACACCTTTCTCCACTCATCTGTAGTTGCTCATAGTTGCTCATGGTGTCATGTCTCTGTTCATTTCATCACCAATTTGGTAAAATTAGTCACGTGCTCTCGTGAATCGGTGACGCGGTGCCATCGCGGTCTCGCCAAGCCATCTTTTTGGCCTCACTTTATTGTCATACTGTCCTCATCTGAACAAGTCTTGTATATCTCAATCAGAAATTATCTATTGTACACTAAGCCCTCACAGCTATTACTCCTGCAACTGTTTCAATCCCATTCCTCATGCCACGCACTTATGGCAAAGGGAAACAGACACGACTTTCTTTCGCTCCGCTGTCATCTTCGCCGCCAGGTACTGACAGGAGCATGAGAAGTCAGAACGATCGTCTAGCTACTCTACGATATGATCATCCCTCCTTACCTTCCCTTCGTCGAAATTCACTACAAAGGGGCAAGACCCTGACGCGCCGAGAGGAATCATCTACCCCGCCAAAGAAAGTCTTATCAGAGGGAACGCCGTCCTCAGAGCCAGAACAAACCCCTCAGAGACCGAAAGAAGGTGGGTTTTGTCCTCCTCACTCATCCATGCATTTGTCACTCATAGGTGTACGAAGACGGGTCGCCAACAAGATCAACTGCCAAGGACGCAATTGCTTTTGACGAGAGCAGCGATAGTACTCTGGAGATTCAGCGCAGCGCGCGCAAATATATGCGGTTACGATCGGGAAAGCGGAAGAGGTCTCCCTCCTTACCAAAGTCGTCGAAGACTCCTGCGAATGAACGTCAGATTTTGATTTCGGATGAGAGCGATGAGGACATGGTTATACAGCCTCGCCGAAGGTTAAGACGTGGCGCCGCCGACCCAAGGCCCATTGTCGTCGAAGAAGGCTCTGAGGACTCCGATGAGCCTATCCGCTCTTCGCCAATCAAGAGGCGCAAGCGAAATACAAACTCAGATCCCCCCAAAACTCCGCGGCGAAACCCAGACCAGGAGAGGTTAGATCTCGAAGAGGATCTAGAGGTCTTGCAGGACTCTGGTAGGATATCCTGATGAAAGATACAATTCTTGGGAGGACTTCCTTGCTAACTTTAGCCGTTCATGTAGTCGTAAAGGATACGCGGACCCGAGGACGTCTAGCCAATTCGGCAAGAGCTCAACGCCAACGTCATCTGGAAGCCCTAAGACGCCGAAGGGCTGGTGGGAAAGAGGAGGACGAAGCGGCGCCAGAACAAGACTCGGACGCTGAGCACTCGGATGAAGCAGACCCTGATGACGAGCCCGACAGTGAAGCCAGAAGCCAAGTTCATCAGCCGCTGTTTCGCCGCCAGGAAGAGAGCGACGTCGAGTCATCTGTTGCAGAGGACGAGGACCTCGACCAATACGAGGACGATTTCGTATTAGAGGACGATAATGCCGAACTGGGAGTGCCATCCAGCCTAGAAGATTTACCGTTTGAGTTTTCTCGGCATGCCTACAAACAGCTCAAAGAATACTTCCAAGACGCTGTTGAATGGATGGTAAATAACAAGATCAACCCTGCCTTCCCTCGTTCCGACCCGCTCTACGAAGTTGCGTTCATGAAACTTGAAGATGAGGTCAAAGGACGCACTGGTTCTCAGCTGGTATCTTCCGTCTGGAACGTCAAATTCCGCCGAGCACTCCTGGCAAGACCTCATGTCAAAATCACTCTATACCCGATCACAGACAATCATCCTTGTGACGCGTGCAACAGGTCTAAGCATCCTGCTTCGTTTGATATGAAGCTATATGGCAAGGCTTATTCCTTGGAGACACTCGAACCATTGTCAGATGACGATAGCGACGAGGACGATGAGGAAGATGGCCCTGAAAGGGACAGAGACGGTTACAGCTTACCAGATGAGGACACGCGGTTCTACCTTGGACGGTTTGTTTCCCATTGTTACCTTCTGTATTCACATTCTCTTGTTGACTCTTTGACAGCCATTGCAAAAACAAAGCCTCGCTCGCCCATACTCTCACCCACTGGCGATTTCACCTCAATGAATGGGTTGTCGACTACCTCGAACGCATGGGTTACTTAGAGGACGACAAGGTTCTTGAGCGCAGCCATTGGAGCCATAAACAAAGGGCCAGGTATGCTTCAGAGGTGATGGGCTCAATGGTCGACGGTGGTGAGGTCAAGAAGCTCTGGCGTGACTTCCATATTACCCTGAAATCGGCGAGAGAGACAACCGTATGTTGAATCTTCTCTACAGTTATGTGGTACATACTAATCTGCGTACAGAGTCTCTCGTGAGGCATACCTTTCGATCATACAGCCTTGTTGCTTTCCTTTGCTCTGCCTTCATTTGCACATACTTTATCAGCACAGCCGTCGACAAACTCGACGGGGCACTTTCACATAAACTGCCATCTTGCACTCTTGAGAGGGCCCTGAGTTAATTTTGGCTTTGTTTTCGCGATGATACCCAATACTCGTAAATCTGGTTGAATGACCAACAGTTGCTTCAATATGTCCTTAGGCGAATCAAAATTCATGACTCATGAACTAGTTCATCCACGTTCCATTATCTAGCAACGTACACCAACGAACAAAGAGAAATAGACATAAGAAGAAATGAACATGAAAGAGTTGTTATACAAGTACATATAGACCCGGAGAAGACGATGGGGAAAAGCGGATGGGATAAACCAAAGGCTTGAATACAACAGGCGAAGGGAAATGAGGACTTAAACCGTGACGGAAACGACGCAAAAATTTTTTTCTGTGATCGCGCCAGCCCAGTATGCAAACCAACAGAAGAAAGGAATATGTGAAGAGAAAACCAGCTCCAACACCTCCCCGAAATCACGTTTTGTTTTGCACTGCGCCTATATCTAATCTCCAGAGGTTCTCTGTCGCTTCGCTTGGTGAGTGGAGTCAATTCATGTACTAGCCGCGGTTGATGGCGGACTCGAGCCCAGCAGATCAATGATCATGAATCAAAGCGAAGGACTGAACAGCAGACGTCTCAGCTGCATTATCGCAATTGTAGAGTCCAATACACCTGTTGTATTTTCACCTTCGGGTTGAGGTGTTCATTTACAGAGTAGGTTGGGCCTGCTTGTTCTCAGCGGGGAGAGCGCCGGGTGTGAGCATCTGTAGGAGAAACATTGTCAGCATGCTTCAATCAAACGCTCAAACAGCTCGGAAGTACGCAAATGCAAAGATAAAACTCAGAATCGCGTATGCCTCGCTTCCTTGGCAGACCAAGTCACCAAGTAAGAATTTTCACATCACCACTGATCCTCAAAAGGGCCGGACAGGTCCCATAGAACCAAGTCGAGACAATCTGATGGAATGACTTAAAAGAAAAACCTCCGTCAACATACCTCGTTAGCACCCTTGATCATTCCCTGCTCACGCTCCATCTGGACATACTGCTCCTCTTCGGCGTAGGCAAGCGCCCATGGAACGCCAAGGAGGAAAGCACTGGTGCTGAGAATCCAGAGCGCCTTTCCACTGAAGGAGATGCTGGACTTTGTGAACGAGGTGAGTGTGGAGACGGTGGAGGAGATCTGGCGCCGGGCTGACGGGGGAACGATATCTTTCAGAGCGGCCACACGCTCGTACAGGGTCTCGCCGTCGACATCGAGGTCGGATTCAACGGAGATTTCAGATTCTGGGATTGGATTGAATTGTCAGATATGTTTTTCTCGGGTTCTTGTCAGTGGGAAAATGCATGTTGGCTATGGTTCCGGCTGAAGAATCATCAACCGGCAATGGATCGGGATGTTCCCGGATGAAGGAGCGAAATGCACCACGATAGTGCGCGTGGGTATGGAACAGAAGCTCATAGAGAAAGAGCGACCGGTTTCAGTAGAGGTTGCTCACCCGTGTCAGTGTAGTCTTCGTCCTCATCGTCCGTGGCAAGAAGAACATTGTTCTTGGTGGCCATGGGCTTCTCCTGAGCAAAGTGCTCATCCTCGACCTCGGTGAGCTTGACCATTGTGACGGTAATAGATTAACTTGGGAGAAAGGTTGCTAGAAAGAAGTGGTCAAATGACTTTGTGACGGCTTGGAAATATGATGCTAAAGGTGACGGAGATTGTTGGCGGACTGCGGACTTGAAAGTGGTCCGCTCCAACTTTTTTCCCGAACCAGACGGCCCTAAAGCGGCAAGCAGCTCCAACGTGATTTGTACTTGACCCGACGGTTCAATGGATTGCGTTTCTGAACGATACGGATCAATTGCAAACTTATTGCTTTAGCAGGATTAGATATTGTACAAGTCGATTATTGATGCCATCCTTAGATACATATGGCACAGCAATCTCATGCTAGAATGGGGAGTGAAGAAAGTAAAAGCCGTCATCCACCCTCTATATAGTACACCCAGACCAGGTCCTGAATAAATGCGAATCCATGAGCTGCGCTACGCAGGATCATACGAATCTATCTTCTTCCCAGCTTCCACCGTGCAATCCGTTCTTGAATTTCCTCCCATGGGAAAGGACGAAGTTTGTACCCTTCCAGCTCACCCTCCTGCAAGACCACTGTCGGGATACCGGTGCCCTGGCCCTTGTTCTGAACATGACCTCCAAATACATGGCGGGCCACGCGACGGAGGTCATCCACGGTCAGAGCCTCGATGCGTTCGCACATCTCCTTGACGCCAACCTTATGGCCGTGAACCTGGACTTGACGGCCAAGATCCTCCAATTCCACCATGCGGGATTCCAAGTTCATCAACAGTGAGGAGCGCAGTTGGTTCTTCGCACGGTTGACCTCCTGTGGCTGCAAGGCGCTGTAGCCCGTGTCGAGAGTCAGTGCCTGCAGTTCGCGGCACATGACTTCAAGCATCTCGGTCGTACGGGTAGGACTGCACGAGGCGGAGATACCGAAAATTCCACTGTCTGTGTAGCTGTGGTTGAAAGCGATGCAACTTTCCACCCATCCGTGCTGGTTCAGCACATTTGTATAGAGACGAGAATACATACCCTTGCCGGGACCGCCAGCGGAGAAAGACCCGCCGCCGCCAAGCAAAGTCTGAAGGGTGGCGAGGGCGTAGATGTCAGGGCTCGAGATAGGGAGAGCTTCAAAGGCGAGATGTATGTAGCTCAGTCTAGGAAGCATGGGGTTTGCTGGTGGGGGGATCGGGGGAAGAGAGAGGAAACCGCCAGTGTAGTGAGAAGGTCTTGTCAAGTCCAACGATGATGGCTGCACCAACGAAGGATCAAGGGGTGCCGCAGATGCAGGCTTCGACGCGGTTGTAGAGAGGTTCTTCAGGAAAGGAAGCCTGGAAAGGACAGACTGGGTTTTCGAGGTTGGGGTTGTGGTGATTGTCGACGATGGCGTAAATTGAGGGACGGTCGGCACCTGTCCTTCCTGAGCCGCTGTCTCTAAATCCGACAGGGTCGTCTCAATTCCAGTGCCGGATAATACGGGCCCTTTGGCCGCATTTGTGGCCTTCATATCACCGAAGTATTGCTCTGTTAGCTTAACAGCCTCCTCGTGCGGCACACCGGCAAAGGCAACAACCATCCTCTCCGGCTTGAAAAAGATCTCCCTGTATCTCTCGACAACAGCCTTATTAATCTCTTCCAATCTCTCATGAGGACAGAGTAGCGGGTTCCCTAATGTGTTATCCTTGTAGGCCGCCATATGCACCAGCTCCGGCAGGATAAGCTCAGGCTTGGCCCAAATCTCATTGATCTCGTACTCTGCCGTGGCCAACTGCTGCAGAACTTCCTCATCAGTGATCAGAGGGTCACGGATCGTCTCCGCCAGAAGCCCCAGGGTCGCGGGGACCGCCGAGTTGAAACTGGCTGACTGGTACATCAACGACTCGCGAGACGAAGCGCACTGAATGTTCCCTCCCAAGCTCTCAAGCGTCTCCAGCATCTCATCGCTTGTTCGGGTCTTGGTCGATTTAAAGGCTAGTCGGTCCATGATGTGGCTCACGCCTCGTAGGCTCTCGTCTTCGTACCGGGATCCCGCATCGACGTAGACACCAACGCCGGCAAAGGGTCCGGGTAAGGATTCCGTGGCGACGCGGATTCCATTCGGCAATGTGGTAATCTGATCTAGCTCGGCAGGGTCCTATAAAGGGCGAGAATGAAAATTAGCCTTATACGACAAAGATGGCCGTTGAGGAAAAGCAATGCCTGCAGCTCTTACCTTGGACTCATTGAGTGTAGCAAAGCTTTTGGAGGCTGAACGAGGCACGCGAGCCAGAGGCTTCGCAGACTCGACGGCGCGCAAGACGGAGCGACGCATCTTGTCGCTAAGATATATGGTTTGGTCGAGACAATTAGAATATATCCAATTGTTAGTCCTCCGCTCGGCGTGGCTTTATGAAGGTCTTTCGTAACGGCGGCGGCGCAAAGATTTGGGACCAGAGACTTGCCCCGATCGATGGCTTATCTAATCAATCACTCTGGCAGACAAGAACAATGATGATAAGAATGACCAGTATCTCAACTCGACATATTGTTCTCTGTGAGGCTTGATGGTTTTTGGAAACATATAGGACTAGGTTATTTCTGTTTCTCGTGGTGAGGAGCGCGGCATCTCGCTAACAGCGAACAAAATTCGGTACTAATTTGTTCACATTATTTTGCGGTATGATGCTTTGCATGTCAAGCTATATCCACGTCGTTCTTGATACATACAGTGTTCCGCTAGACTCATATATAAAAGCTACCCATAGCTAGCAAACTCCTCATCCGCCCAGCCTCTCCAAATCCTCATCCCTAAGACATACCATGAGAGCAATCTCACCATCCAGCGCCTTAGGCAGAAGATACATCAAGCCCTCAACAGGCAGGATCCGCGGTCTGCGCACACACTCAGGCGTGCCCAGTCCAAGATTAAAATCAAGCTCGTAGCAATTGACTTCAGCCCAAGAACTAAACATTATGTCCCTGACGGGTCGATCGACGGCCCCATACAGGATCTATTGTATCAAATTAGAAGGCTGAAAAACAACTGAGACAAACATTTTGACCACCACAGCAGGCGTCCAGCTTAGTCACACAGGGTAGCTGCCTTAAGTATCAGGTGAGCGGCTGGATTGAGCAGCAATCCAGGAATGTCGAAATCTTGTATTATTTGATGTTCCTAAGGCAATGTGTATTGTGTTCCCCGGTCGATGATGTTCGATTCATCTTTGACTTCGATCCTGAGGAGACGATAGGTGGAATTTGAAAGTTGGCTTTGAGCTGCATTATTGTCTCTATGGTCAATTTCATTATCTTCTC